ATGCGTTTTTGGCTGTGCAAGCCGTCAGGCTTGGTACTTACGCCGTGAACACAAATCGCATTTTCGTTTTTGTGCGTAGTACTGGCTTTTACGTTTTTACGCGTAAAAACACGCAGTAATACACAAATACAACATAAATACAACCCTGTGCACATTCGAACAGAACATACAGACTTTGGGGGTACCGGAATTGGCAGTCAGACGCGCTGGAATGAGCAGAAAACCAACTTTTGTTCCATCCCGTTACTACCCTTGCTGAGGGCGAGGTGGGCACTGTGTTGTGGGTGCTGGTGATGGCGGAGGACTAACCATTGTACGCGACTTTTGTCGTGTGACCTGGGTGTCCAAACGAGCGGCAAAAACGTAAAAATTGTATTAAGGATAGCCCTTTACCCGCAAATTTACGTTTTTATACATAAAGGCGTAAAGGTAAAACCGTCAACGTAAATGTACCGTTTACATTGTAAATACCAAGCGACCTAGCATGCATTGCCTTGAACACGGCCAGCCTGGCCTGCTGGCCTGGCCGAATCCTGAGGATGCGATGGAACGTTCACGGCTTCTTTGGGACACCCGTCAGCAATGACCTGCGGCGCATTTGCAATGCGAAAAGACGTTCACCGTCGTTTCGCACCACCGCGGCGCGGTCCTTGGTGTTGGATGAATGAGCAGGCGCTATGGGGCCATGCATTATGATACAATTGCCTGGGTTGGATGGTAAGGGAGCTGCCCGGCAGTGCATCTTCATGGTTCGTGTGACGTTACATTGCATAGCGCACAGCTCTAATCTCTTCAATTGCGAATGAGGTGTGTTACAATAACCCCATTGTCGTTGTTCCAGGGCTGCAAAACAATTTGATTTACACCATGTAAGTTCCATGTATTCTCCATTGATAGCTACAGGGCCATCGAACCAGGATTGGCACCCAAAAGGGTAGGGTGTGGTGATGCACGTGGTCTTTCAATGCAGCGTCCGTGGTCGCCACGTTCACCCGAGGAAATAGATTGTTGGGTATTATGTACTACAATGATCTGGCATTAACAGCATCGTCCTTTACGAGTTGATTTAATGCGTGTGCAGGGTACGCCACATCCGTGTGTCGGTAGGCCTCGGGCACATCTCTTGATTAAGCCCCGTCGATGAGTTTGCGCTCATTTTATGAAGCTCCATGGTGCCTTACAGATTGCGCGGCAATTTTCATCAGTCATTTCTCAAGTCAGGGCGAGGCCTTGGCTGTGGGACCGTCGCCCCGTGCAACATCCCAATATTAATTCCATCAAATGCAAAGCATTGTTTTCCTGACTGAGCCCTGGTTTCAGGTTGAATCTCATAAGCCGACAGGGAGAGATTTTGCGAGAGTTTTTCTTTGCCAAAATCGCGAGCTGTCAAGAGCACCCTCTGCCACACACTCCTTACCAAAAATGATGGCTGTCGCAAATTTGCGGCCTTTTAAATCCCTTTTTTTGCAGCGCCTCCCCTTGCAGATAGCCTTGTCAAGTACAGAAAACCAACAGCAGGGCGCTGTCAGATGCAATGGCGTCCACCCTACGGCAGAGTGGCACGCGGCCGTTGCATGTATCCAAATTAGTCACCACTTCACCACGCCTCCAGTGACCTAACATGCAGCCCGAGCCCAGGGGCTGGCTGTCCATCATCCGGATCAATCATCTTCTCTTGATTCCTGATCACTGACCATTTCGTCGAGGGGACAGCGACTTGAAGCACAGGGAGCACCATTTTCAGTGAGAACGTTGCCCTGGAAGAAAATACCACGGTTCCTGCAGCAACACCATGAGGGAAGAACTCAGTCATTTGGCGTTGAGCATGGACCGCGCAATTTAAGCGAATCTGTTGCAATATTCAGTTCATGGACAAAGTTTGGAGACATTCCGTGTTATTTGTATTGCAAAGATTTTCTTATCGATATGCAGTGCTGCTTACGCTGGTGCATATGCAAAGAGGTGAGAAAATTACCTCATGCGCTGACTGTGCTGCGCGCGTTTTTCAAACTTGATCTCGTTGTCGTCCAAGCTCTCTCCCCACCTATTATTTGCAGATCCCGGCACCTGTTCCTTTGGAGTCAAGAGCCTTCTCCCCAGATGTATGTGCTGTGCCACTGCGTCCGTATGTACGGCACCCTTTTGCGACTGTAGATCCGTTACCGCCTGTCTTTGTCGCCGCATGAGCTTGAATTCCTCCCCTAGCCCTCTCGGGGTGGCCGCTCCTCTTTGTTGAGATCCACGGCCATGTCCACCGCAGCTGGCGCCTCGGCCGTGCTTACCTGTTTCGAAGCTCGCCGCCACGTTTCCGTTTGGTCGCAGCACTGATCATGACCTTGCATAGTATGTATGTTACCATCGCCATGATTGAAACTTCCACGGAAACTCTAGGATTCGCAATAGTTGTCGCAGCATCAGTCACCATGCGCTCCATGGACGGCTGGGTTGGGAAGAGTCTGCGCAATGGCTGTGTATTGACCAAAACCGCCTGGGCGTCCTGGTCTCCGCCGCAATTGTCTCGGTTGAGGGGAAGGCGAGGCGCCATGGGCGGTGGCTTTTATGCCATATGGCCTGCGTTACTGCATAATCGGGCCGTGAGCAGTTGGCTGATGGACAATTTAGTTGCAGAGAGTGCACATAAATATGTGAAAATAGTACATCACTAAAAAACAGAAAGTGATACATTTTTCATATGTTAATTTGCGTTGTGGTGCAGGGTATTGCATTCCAATATTTTAATCATGAGTTAATTGTAATAATAGCATTGACGAACTGTTGCCCTCAATTGAGCATTTGTAGCACAGATGTTCGATTAAACAGTTAAATGTGACAACGAATCGAACATGAAATGCACGAATCGTAGTTAAGTGGTGATGGAATAGCAGTGCGTCCACTGACTTCAGCACAAGCTATCAGCTGAAAGATAAATCTGCTGGAAACATTACGTAATAATTTGCTGCGATCTTAGCCATGAGAGTGGCGAGAGTGCGAAGCGAGTATAGCAAAAACATCGTGTGAATCGCCACATATACTGATTTGCGAAATTTTCCAATATTAATGTTCAGAAAAATATGATGATGACGTGCACGTTAGGCATCTGACATCATGCAGCACTTGGCAGGAAATTTCAATATTTTTGGAGCGAGATTGGAAGAATGCAGTATCTAACGAAATAACGCATGCAGCCACGCGGAGTGCTGCCCTTCGAATTCTCCAATTCTCCAGGACAGTACAGTAATGCGAAAGAGCGAGGGTGTGCGCGCCCCTCTTGCTGAGCAGCTGATGAGCTTGCACTTGCGCTCCGCGGGGCAGTTGCGTTGATTCCAGGACAGCAAGTCGCGGAGGCGCACAAAGGAAATTCACCGCCGCGGAACTCAGGCTCGCTTGTCAATTTCCGATGCGCAAAGGGCGGGTATGCGCGCGGGCCTCGGCGCAGCGGTCAAAGTCCAGACACCCAGCCTCAGCGAACCCACAAAGCCGCCCAGCGGCACTCACAACTCCTCACTCGGTGCAGCGCTGCGCTAAGGCAGTCGTCGTCATGTTGCAAGGGTTTTCCGGCTTTGTTGATTCCTCGTTGCCGACTCTTGAATGCCATTGCTTTGAAGTCAAGAGGGCGAAGAGTCTCGAAATGGTCAGACACAAGCGGACACAAGCGGACACAAGCGGACACAAGCGGACACAAGCGGACACAAGCGGACACAAGCGGACACAAGCGGACACAAGCGGACACAAGCGGACACAAGCGGAAGGGGCATTTGTACCCGAAAGCGGCGGACAGACGGTCGCTGTTTGTCTGCGTCAGCAGGACGTATGACGCCGGGGCCCGCTTGGCCAGCGGTTTGATGCGTCTTGTCGTACGCCCCGGAGGTCAATGGCGTGCTCCGGGCACGCGCCAGGCACGCGCCCGCGGTGCGCTCAAGGTGGCTTGGAGCACCGCTTGGGTAAGGCGATCAATTGAAAAGAGCTCGACGTTTGGTTGTCGGGCCAGATGCATCATCATCCGGAGGGCACTGCACTCGGCCCGGCATCCCGAATGTGCTTCGAAGCACATGTGCAATCCGCCCGAAAAAGCAATGCAAATTTAACTACTGACTCAAGGATTAAGCCCACAGGTTCTCCTTACCCAATATGCACTGATAACTTGTTCAAATGCAAGCACCATCACCCGGGGTGCGTTTGACTGCGGTCTGATTTGGAGCGTTTTTCTGCAGGTTTCGCTGATTCAAGCGATCCGACATGTGAGTTCAGCACGGAAATGAGATGTTTCCAGGTGGAGTCGATGACGGTATTGGGATGGAGATGGGCAGACAAGAAATTTACGCAATCCCCAAAGAAAATGCACCTCAGGGGATACGAAAGTGTCATAATGAGAACTTCAGGGTAGTCCGTCAACTCTTCACATGCCCACAGACAGCGATTAGTAAACTCGATACATACGATATCCACGTTGTTACAGGTGGCACTAGAACGAGCATTCGATTATGATTTCTGCTGCGGGGCTGACAGCACGGTTTCCGCCATTTTTTCACAATTGCGACTGGACTGATATTTGATTCAGTTTGCCAGTTTTCTGCATGGCAAATAGGTGGCCAAGCATTGGCCAAACGCGACCATGTATTGTCCTCAACTACGGCAAGGGAATCGAGCACGAATTGACGCTGGCAAAAGTAGATCCAGCCTTGTATCCGCTAGGAGCCAGGTATCCTCCTATCAAAATATTGCGCCTTCCCCGTGCGCCTTGACCGGACGCCATGGAAGAGGCATCACGAGTCGTGATTCATGACGCGGGCAATAAATTCCAGCTGCCAAGGATGTAATGAAAGTACACGACCTGATGGCAGTCGCTGCAATCCATATGCTAGGTGCCTTCCGTTCGCTTAGGCCTGCGCCCGCTGATGTGGCCATGGTGCGGATAGGGGAAGTACGAAGCCAAGAGCCGCAAGCCAGAAAATTTCTGCAAACAGAAAAACTTGGCAGAGAGTTTCCCATGGTCCAGCAGTTCATAGGCAATTTTTGCAGCATTCTGCAGACCACAAACCCACATAGAGCAGCCTGGCAAATGCTCCAGGCGCGACAGTGTGCGTTGGCACTGGACAAACGGCCCAAACCTCGACATTGAGCAGCATCCGATGCACTGGGAGTGGTGATGAGCACCGGCTTAGTGACTTGTGGTGGGTGTATCCACCAAGTGGGATTTCACACTGCATTCCAATCCGCACGAGGGAAACGCGAATCTGGAGCAGCTGCAGTGTCCGGCACCATGTTCCCCACCACCTGCGAGATGCAACACCCTCTATGGTCGACAGCCTCTCCCCAGTAAGGGGGTGATCACAGAACATCATACCGTGCCTGCACGACGCAATGGGGGTGTCATTTCCAACAAACCCAATCCAAGAGATTCACACATTACAGTCTGCCTCTTCGGCAACAATGCTGGTGCACACTAACCGCACATTCCACGCCGCGCGCCCGGCAACCCAACATTCCTCTGCACCGCACTCTCGGCCCCAGTGCCCCCGCGCCCGGCCCCACACGCTGCACTAAACCAAGCACGCCAGCCACGATGGGTGAACTACGCCCATCCCCGGACCACCCCCTCGCCTCTCCGCGACCTCCAGGCCCCAACGCCACCCACCCGCCGCGCCACCGCCGCCGCTACAGGTCCCCGAAGTCCACCTTGCCTTTCAACTTCTGCGCGCCAAGCTTCATGGCCTTCTTTCCCCCCGCGGCCTTCCTCTGCGTCGGCCTGGCCGGCGCTGCCCCTGGCAGGCTCGCGTTGATCCCCATGTCCTCGAACACGCTGTCCAGGCCGTCGTCCCACCCTTCAGAACCCCCCGTCGGAGACGCTGCCGCTGCCGCCGCCGCCGCCCCCGCCCGTCTCCCTGTCGATCTCGATCCCCCGGCCCTGGACAGCCTCGCCCTCGCCGCCACCTCCTCCTCGTCCTCCTCAAACGCCTCAAGGTCGTCATCCCACCCCTCCCGCCCACCCTGAGGGCTCGCCGCCGCCCTCTCCTCCGCCCGCGACTCAGCGGCGTCGCCCCAGGCGGCGCCCTTGGGCGACGACTGGCTTGTCGCGTGGGTCGTTGGGGACGTCGCGGCCGACGAAGACGTGGGGGGGGAGGGCGACGACGAAGGGGCCTCGCCGTCGGCCTGCCCGGTCTTGCTGAGGCCGAGGGAGGACACCGCCCAGCTGAGGTACGACCCGCCCGCCGCGGCGCTCCAGGTCTCCTGCCTTCCGTCCGCGGCACCCGCCGCGGCCTGCTCTGACGCCGACTTGGTCATGTTCGCGGCGTTAGTCTTCAACTTCTTGACGAACAGGTCGAGGCAGTCCAGGGCGGCGGATCGCACGTCCTCGACGGCGTCCACCGCCAGGGGCCCCAGCATCGGCACCACCCGCGCGGCGATGTCCTCCGGGCCGTGGAACTCGATGGTGGCGGCCAGGGCCCTGAGGCCCGCGACCTTGGCGCCGGGGAAGGTGTCGCGCAGAGACCTGCTGAAGGCGTTCAGCAGCACGCGCTTGCAGGACGCCTCGCCCATCAGCTTGGCGATGTTGCCCAGCAGGACCGTCGTGTTGGCGCGTATCGTGGGCTCCTGGTCCACTTGCAGCTTGGCCAGGAACTTGAGCAGGCTGTTGTTTATGGTTCGCTGGCTCAGCTTGGGCGCCAGGCTGCGCATGCTCTTCAGGGTCATCTCGCGCAAGTAGGCGTTGCTGTCCGAAAAGCCTGTCTGCAGCTGCGGGTATATCTCCGTCTCCACCAATTTTTCGGTGAGGTGGTTCGCGAAGCGATCTGTGTTCTCCAACAGGCTGCGCCGGATCGCCCTATCAGTGGAGGAGAAGAGGCGCGATATGACAGGGATCACCCTCTGCCCAAATTCCTCCTCGCCCATCTGTTTCCCTATCTGCATGATGCAGCTCAGGGCCACAGCTGGGGCCCCGCCATACTCAAGGGCAGACGACAGCATTGGCAGCACCTTCCTCTCGGCCACCGGCGCGGGGAGGGACGGCAGCATGTTGGGAAGCTTCCTGAAGAAAGTGTCCTTCTCCACACTCTCCTTCACTGCCAAGTTCTCCAAGAAATTGACGACGTCCACTGTCTGGTTGTGCACGAACTGGCTCTTGGCCACCTTTGCTGGGTTCAACCTCTTGGAGGGCTTCGACCCCAGCAACCGCTGGTAGTCTGTCAGAAGGGCTTCTGGGATAGGGTCGGTTCGCCTCAGGTCCTCAGCCTGTCGCAGGTCGCGCCCACTAAACACCTCCTGGATCAGGCAGCCAAGGCCCCAGGCGTCCACTGCCCAGGGAGGGTTTTGCGGCACCGCCTCCCACTCGCCTTTGGCAAGCTCGCCGGGTTTGTACTGGTTCCTGACCATCCAGATGTTTGTGTGCAGTGGAGAGCCCACAATCGAGGCATGCTCAGAAAGGAGGTCAAACCCATGGAGCTTCCAGTCCAACTTTTCTGTGACCCCCACTGCGGCCATGCACAAATTGCCATGTATCTGTTACAGCAAGAAAACACAGGGCTGCTCCATCACTTCACAGGAAGTTCTTCAGGCCGATAATGATGTGCTGTAAAACAAGTCGTAGCAATATCTGGCAAGTGAGCCAGGTCGCCTGCTTGTTGACCGACTTTGTAGCAACACCCAAGCACATATTTTAACGATTCACAGCCCACATGCTGGTGCAATTAACAACAGCAGAGGAGCAACCAAACAACACTGTGTAACCATGCTTTCAATCTGGCTTGGGGTTTTGTTCTGCAAAGTGCCTTGAAAAGCCCCACTCACCAGTTTGCAGTCATTGTTCAGAAAGCTGATGGCACTTGCGATGTGGTTGAGCCCCATGGCTAGGTATTCATGCCTGTCACACAGCTGCAGCCTGGTCATCTCAACACAACAAAGCAGAGCAAAGGGCGGCAAAAATCGTGGCAGCGTGCAGCACTGCAACAACTCGACTGAGCATAACTCCATTTATGGTGACCAACAAAGCTGTGAGTCGGCTGTGCATCAAAACACAACAATGCCATGGACAGGCATATTCTAACCATCGTTTGGCATGCAGACCCCCAAGCCTGCTCTATCCAATGCATACCAACACACTCAACCAGAGATACATGACATGACCAGTGTGTCGTACTTTGGACATTAGGTATACATTCTGTCAATACTTCAAGCAGAACAGCAACGGCTAGGCAGACGAAGTCGACATCATACAGCAGGAACTTTCCCATCTGCCTTTGGTGGTCCATGGCACTGGATACAACTGGTACATGTGGTGAAACCCTCAAAGACGTGTATCATCCATCTTGCAAAGAACAGCATGGACGGAATCCAATTCAAGACATGTTACATGGCAGGGGCAACAGCACGCTGGAGCTGGCTTACACCATGTTGAAGACACAGCGCAGGGACCACACAGACAACTTTCTGCTGTGCAGCTTACAGGCGCAGCAGGTGGACAGCAAGAACTCCAACAACCGGGGCATTTCTGATCCTCACAACAATCTGTCGTTGTCCAGCTTTGCAAATTTCCAACTTGTTTGTTTGTTATACATGGCAGAAGTTGTTTGTGCGCTTGTGTCTGCCAGAAGTGCCTCACGACCAACACCAGCGAAGCCAGGTGCGACGAGTGCAATACGGTCCGATTTGCAAAATCAAAATTCACACCACCTCTCCACAATAATCTCCACAACCAGAGCCTTGTGGACCCCTCACCTCTGCTCTCCCGACAAGTTAAGCTCGTTCAAGACAAGCTCCAGCGGCTTCACTGCCTCGGTTATCAAGTAAAGCGTGACGGTCCCCTTCTCTTCAACCTCCACGGTGTCTTTGAACGCCAGCACATTCGGATGCCTCAGCTGCATCCAACCGCCACACTCAGTCACCACATCTGCGAGAATCGCTCCAGATCAGTCAAGCGAAATCCTGCAAAGCATTGCAGCCGCCTCCCCGTCTGGTAAAATGAATCCTTGCACGTTCAGTGGCAGAAAGGCCGGTGAGGCGCTGAGCGCTCGGTTGCGGTTCGATGTCCATGCTCACCGTCCTCAACCTCTTCACGCCGTGGCGCGCCGCCGCGAGCCTCCCATCGCCCGACGACGGGGCCGTCACCTTGAAGACGGACACCTCCGATCCGTCCTCCTTGATCGTGCCGCGATGGTGCGTCCAGGAGCCCCAGCCCGACGGGAAGGCCTCCCCCACATCGTAGGCGAACGCCGCGCTGCCGCTGACCAGGGCGGTCAACTTGGCGAACATCTCGGCGCCTCACCCAGGGCCGTGGACGGCAGGCGAAGCGCACCTGGGCGACCACACGGGGCGTCTCTCGCCCGGAGGTGTGCCCGGCAGGCACAAATGAACAAGGGAGGCCAACTGTCGGGAAGGCGGACACAGAGTCGATATGAGGGGGCTTAAGGCGCGTTAAGGGTACATTAGCAGCAAGCATGCCCCGGAAACGCGCCCGCCGTTAAAGGGTTAAGTTCTGCACCGGTTTGGGGGCCACAGGGGCGCCAAGGACCTGGATGCGCTCTGGCTGGCCCCGCCGGTAATCTGACGCTTCCCCCGCGCAGCGAGAGGGGCGGGTGAGGAGGAGAGGAAATAGCGCGTTCGGGGACGATAACCCACGGCCACCGCGGCCTGTGGCGAGATGGCGAAGAACACGTTCATGACGGTGTTGGAGTCCGACCTGAGGGTGCTGAGCACGGAGGCCAGGAAATCGGACGGCCTGGCTGGACAGCTGGCCGGCTGGCTGAACAACTCCGAACAAACCGCGGTGAAGGACGCCGCGGAGCGGGCCGTGATGCGGCTGCGGGCCTTCTCGAGGGAGCCCAACTGCCTGGAGGCAATCCGCGGCAGCAAGGTGTGCGTCGAGATCGGGGGGGTTGGGGGGTGGGGGGGGATGGGCGTCCGGCATGCCGGCCGGCCCCTGCCCGGGATCCGCGCCTTGGCGTCCAAGGAAGTGACGATTCGCCGCAAGGGCGGGATGGGGCCATCTCGGCGTGGCCACGGGAGGTGTGAGCGGGAACCGTGCCTCTGGTCGCTGCGCACGGATGGATTTGGGAAAACGGGCAATCGGGGTGAATGAACTGGCCCCTTGAGCTCGGAAGGCGCTGTGGTTAAGCGGTTGGGCTGGGGTGCGGAGGAGGGCGCCCCTCCTGGAGCTGAGCCTGCATGCAGCGAGGTGCTGAATTGGGAATGGTCGATGGGATTTTGGCGGGTCTCGTGGTGACGCGCGTGCTGTGCTCCCCAGGACGTTCTGCGGCCTTTCGTGCTCGCATGCGAGACAAAAAACTCGCGCCTGACGAGCCATGCCCTTGGGTGCATTCAGCGGCTGCTGGCGAACGACGCTGTGTCCGCCGAGGGGAGGGTCGCGGTGATTACGGTCCTACAGCATGTGAGTCCGTGGGAACAAGAACATGGGCCGCCATCTGCCTCGAACCTGCTTGCGGCCGATAGTTGAGTTGGAACGACCCTGCTCTGAGTGATCAGAGAGACGATGTGTGCGTCGCTCTGATTCGTGCCCACCCTAATATCCCATAAGATCAAGTGCTGGTGGGCTGTTTCCCCAGTAGAAGTGATCCTGGCAAGGTTCATTGTGGATGGAAACAACCAATCTATAGAATGCAAACCGCATTGCCCCATTGCTCTCTTGTTACTGTCAATTGCTAATTGCAAGCTTCCTGCTCTCAGCTGGAGAAGAGCCATGACGAGGGTGTCAAATTGAAGATGTTACAGACTGCATTAACATTGCTGCAGAATCCAGCCGCTTCTGATAGGGAGGTGAGCATCTCTCCATCGTTTCCTTGCCCAACACTGGTGATGCCATTTCCACTAAGTGCCCTTGGGTTTGTTCTGGCCAGTCTGCAGGGTGGCATCATTGCCCAGGAGTAGCATTTCTGCAACTCAATCGGCACCCAGCTGTCTTGAATTCGAGTGCTGGTTGCTTTCCCCAGCACATGGTGTGCTCTTGCTTGTCAATTTCGATGCTTGTCATATGTTCATCAATGCAGCTGCCCACTTCATGCCACTGGATAGGATCCAAAATTGCTCCTTCAATGACTCAGTGATTTGAACATCTGCATTGCAGTCAGGGTATTTCTCACAGTGCAAGTGGTGTACAGCGCAACTGGTGTCTTCAAGGCTCCCAGTCCATGATAGGACACTGCCTGGGGTTGAGAGTTGTATGACTTACAGGTGTTCCTGATGTACCTTTGCAGGAGAATATCTGTAACCTGCTTGGCCTGAATTTTCGATTGCTAGCACACCCTCGAAACACAGAGACGGTCGTCAGCACTGCAGCAGCAACGGTCAGGCAGGTAAGGCATTTGCCCTTTGTTTGATTTGGATATTGATTTTGCAGCAGGATGGAACCATTGTCCTATTGTTCAGCCTTTGCTGCCAAGCAGTAGATGTGGATGCATGGAACATGGTGCCCAGCTTAGGGAATCCAGTTTTACTTAGTGCTTCTTGTGCTCATTGATGTTCTGGAATAATTCCTAATTCCTAGCAATGTTGGACACATGAGTTGTGCAAATTTGTACCTGTTTTTGTGGGCGTCCTGAGTATGCTCAGGTCATTGAAGGTTGTTGGGTATTGTCATGCCTATCAGTCATCAGAGCTAGAGGCAGCAGTGTGTGTTGGGATTGCTACAAGGATGTACATGTGCCACCCGTTCCTATCGTCGCAGACAAGGGGTAGCATGCTGAAAGCAGTACCATTGACTGTGTACAGCCAGGTTGACGAAATAGTGTTGGGGTGCATTGTATCACTTTGGCATAAGTCCCAAAGGAAAGTGCTGCAGTCAGTGATGATGCATTGCGGGATATGTGTGTACCATTGGTTCATGATGTTTTTGCTTTTGGCTGCTCACTACAATGCTTTGTGACTGCATTGTCAGCATTGTTGTGTTGTACTGACACATATAGGCAAGGCCTTTTAAGTTTCTAGCTGGTTGTTTTAGAGATGCACACCAACCCATCGTGGATGCGCCTTTGCAGCCTCTCCTTGCTTTGTTCTACATGTTTTAAGCCCTTGCAGATATAGGAAAACGGGTCCAGCATGGCATTTTGTGCTGCGTCTCACTTACTGCTTCTTGTGTTCCAACCACTTGATGCATCTTTACTTACTGAATGCAACTGGTGAGCTGTGTAGCTTCCTTCCTAAGTCAATGCAATATTTTTCGAACCCTCATCACACCAGTGTGTTGTGAATGTACCTGGTTGACAACACGACCTAAATGGTGTCAATCTCAGCTCCATTGCCTGCCTGTAGGTGCTGGAGGTATGGCAGCCAGATGCAATGGTGGCCCTGATTGCAGCACCGATGCAACTGACACCGAATCTTGTACTGTTCTTTGCAACCCTGACTTTTGAGAGCATTGGTTTGCCTTGCCTTGTGATACAATCTGGCAAAATGCTTGTATTGCTTTGTGATGATGAATAGGGCACCTGATCGCCTACATGCGATACAGTGGATAAGATTGGGCATTCACCTGTTTTTTCCACGTGTGGCAGTTTATCAAGCCTGCTCTTGAGTGGCAGTGGACTGAGTCTCAGCATCTGTGCAGGCTGTTACACTGGTCTTCGACCGAGCACTGGCAGAGGATGATGCCATTGATGAATACCCATCATCGGAAGAAGAACGAAGGCTGTCCCACTCTCAGGCAACTGGGAGTGGCAGGGAGATTGCAGCACTACATCTCCTAGAGGACATGTGTGAAATGTGCAGTGGTGAGATCTGGCTACAGGGGAAGGAACTGAACACCCGCCTGGTTTCTGGACATTGAGGAACACCTCTTGTATAGCAGCCACAATATTGTGTACATACAGTTTATGCATCTTGAATCGTAGGCACACAAGCTGCCATCAGTCCCTGCTTGCTGCCCACAGTACAGGTCCGAAAACCTGCAGAGATATGCTTGTTTCTGAAGTTGAGATGACACTCGCTGTGGTTGTTCCTTATATATCTGCGATGATGGTTACAGGCATGCTTGGGGCCATCACATTGCACTTGTGTTAATCGCTGAGTGCCCCCAGCTTGAGAGAGCTTGCTGTCTTAAGTTGCGAAGTTTTCACTGGACTTGGATTCCTAGTGGTTTTGGCCTCAAGGCTTTGGTGTTGTCTTTGTCCAGTGTTTTCCTCCTGCTGCCCCCATGCCCTGCAGGCATGCTATGAGTAATTCATGGATGCTTTGGATTGTTAAGGGAGCTGATATTCAATGCATGTGTTTACCCTTTGACTCCATATGTAAAGATGTGACAATCATTTGCCTTGCATGTTCACTGCGATGTGTGCATTACCACATCTGATCCTGTTATGTGGCATCCTAGGCAGTCCCGCGACTTGGTTGCAGTCCCCTGTGGTACAACGCCAGTTCATCCTTGACATGCTGGAGTACGTGCTTTCGCACAAACCCCAGGTCTTCCACAGGCTTCCTTTGTTTGAGGAGGCCCTGCGGGAGCGGGTGTGCCATGTGCTGGACAGCCTGCTCATGGAGTACATGCAGCATGATGGCGAGCCTGCAAGGACGGGAGAGGTTAGGGCTGCTTTCCGTTCTCTTGCGACGACCCTCGAAAACTTCTACACACTCATCCCTGCGAAGGTTGCCCACTTCCTCGACATCTTATTTAAAGGTATGGAAGTTATGCATTCTTTGAGTGTACTCAAATGCATTTGCAAAATGATATATGACAGAACCAGACCCTTGTGTGTGGAGGGCACTATATAATGCAGCTTTGCCTGCTCAAGGCATTGTGCAGTGAATTCTGCAAGTGGCGTCGATTCTGCCTGGGTTAGTTATGTAATTTCCAGCACACTACGTTCGCCAATGCGTGATGGAGCAAACCCACTTAGCTGGTCCGGCGCTGTTGGTTTGCCCACACAAAACATTGGCATCCCCAAGTCGGTTTTATCCTGTGTCCACGAACAACCCAGTGAGCTGCCAATGCGTCCATGATAGGTGCGCCAGCCTCTATTTGGCTCAGCAGCAAGTGTTTGTTGTCTGCTGTGCTGGGCTGCATGGTCCAAGTAGAGTGATCAGTTCAGGACACTTTCTGGAAGCAGGCTTCTAGCTCAAGATCCAGCTGAGAAGCAAGACTACCAGTGTTGATGCACCTTGGAAATGCTTCACAGAAAAAACAGCACACATGCATTGACAGACGTTGTTCCCCACATGCCTTTGCATTCCTGACATTCCTGTCAACCACCACGTTGGTGACCGTGTGTGTGGGCTGAGTCTGTCAGGCACGTCGGCTGGAAACCCTACGTGGCGCAGGACGTGCTGCCTGCAGGTGTTGCGCCACCTCAGCCTGGACCGTTACCTTGTCTACTACCTCTACACCACTTATGACATGAAAATGGACTTCCCCAACAATGCATGCCACAATCTGGTCGAAGTATCTGTGGCCGTGGTGCAACGGTTCCTCAAGCTGCATCCAGATGACGGGGACGGCACGAGCATGGCTGTGCTGGGGTCGCTGTACAAGGCGACTGTGGGGCAAAGTGGCTGGTCTGTGGATATTGATGCCAATGGCGTGGGTGAAGCGTATCTTGCTGCTATGGGCCTGGATGCGATCATCAGCATTGTGGGTGCCATCGAGGCGTTGGCAGAAAAATGTGGCGATGGAGGCGACTACAGTGTGGCGTCGCCCCAAGCTCCTGGTGGGGTGTAGTAGCTGGCCAGCAGACTCACTTTTGGGTGTGTTGGGGAGGAAAGGCAACCACTTTGTGACACTGGTTAGTCAGCGATTATGGTTGCTTTTATTTCTGTGCGTGTGTGTGTGTGTGTGTGAAGATGTCAAATGTCAATTACACATGCATGCAGGGCTAAAATCCCCCTTTTCCTCACACAAGACGGGAGCTATAGGGGGTGCCCTGGGACAGCACAGGAAGTGTTCACTGTTCCGCGCATCGAGTGTCAAAAGCTAGTGTCCAAGATTGTGTGTGAAGATGTGACAACCATGCACTAAGTACATTCAGACCCAGGAGGAACTAGGCCTATATCGGGCACATGGAGGGCAGCAGACCCTACCCGGGCAAAGTTTGTCCAGAAACCCAGCAGCCAGGTCCAGGTCCGACAACGTGGGGGCCTGAATCCCATGTGTGTGTGGGGTGGGGTGGGGTGGGGGGTATACTTGTCTTCTGGGGACAAGAATGTGCCCTTGCACATTGAAGGCGATGGTGAAGACTATGCGCAGTACACTGTGTTCATCAACTCGGACAAGAAGGCAAGCAATTGCCAATGTTTATAAACAGAAAGAGGCTGGTTGCTATACTGGACGCAGGTGTGCAATATATCTGTTGTGGTGCATCTGGGACCCTACAGCTGATCCTTACAATTCTGCTTATACTTCCCCTCTTTGGCACAGGCACAGGTTATCCCATCATAAAGCACAATGCGCTGGTGTCGATGGTGGACGATTTGTGGCGAATGGTGCTTGGTGCCTTCAAGTCTCTCCTCCTCAGAGGCTGTGGAGATGACCTGCTGCCTCAACTGATCAAGGGATATCAGAGCATGTTGCAGACATGTGCTTCCTTGCATGTGAATGCAGCCATGGGTGCCTTCCTGACATCGCTCTGTGATCTGTCACTACCTGCTCTCACTGCAGTGGATGTCACCCCACACGGGGGTGTCGCAGCAGGTATGTGTCCCTCACAGACGCTACAGCGTTAGGATGGTCTGCCTACAGCCTTTTGGATAAGGAATCCAAAAATTCAAATGGAATTATGAATGGTTGTGAATTCTCTTTATTCATCATGGCCAGTAGGATTCAGGACAACTGACCATTGTCTCCCATAGAGGTGTCCTGCATTTGATGAAATGCATGCACACAATCTAGTTGTCAACCAAGATATGATGAAAAACACATGTGTGAGTTGCTTTTTGAGTTGCCTGGAAACTTGAACAGAATTGTTACTTTTTCTGTTACAAGAAGGCACTTGCGTGTCCAATTCCATTGCTGTTTGACTTGCTGACTGCCAGCATTCTGTTTTGGATTTCAGGGTCACCATGGGGGACTGTTCTGAAGCCCATGAACATTCAGGCCCTCCATGCCCTCTTCAACATTGCTTACCTCCTTGGAAACTCCCTGGGATCCTCATGGGTGCTGGTGGTGCGCACGCTTCATGCTGTAGACCAAATCTTGCTGTCACCACACACCACAACACAAGAAGCCAACAAGGATGTGGCGTCCGCAGGGCAGGCCACAGAGCTCAGTGTGCTGTCAGCCGCCGTGACCCGAGTCTTTGAAGGCAGTGCCCTGCTGAACCCTGAGGCGGTCATCAGCCTGCTGGCGGCTTTAAGGGACGTCTCAAGCCAGACCTTGCAGAAATCCAACCGTGGCCCCATGCGCCTCTTTGCTCTAAGTCGTATGGTGGATGTTCTGCTGCACAATGTGCACAGGATCCAGGACTTGTGGGGCATATTCCTGTCCCACATTGTGGAGGTGCTGAGCTCCAGCGATGCTGCTGTCAGAACAGCAGCAACGTCTGAGCTCAACCGAGCTGTGACTGGGGCTTTGGGTTTGCCGCTGCGGAGCGAGGATGGTGAATCTGACGATGGGGAAGAGGAGGCCACTCCCCAGGACGAAGCACCTTCCATGGCTGTGGACAAGGCAGTGGAGCACATGATTCTTGTGGCACTTGAGTCCCTGTACCAGGATGTGGGGCACTCCGATGTTCGCAGGGGGATCTTGCAGATAGCCATACTTGTCCTGCAGCGGAATGGAGACTTCCTGACTCGAGGTTGGAGCCCAATCCTGAGGCTGCTGGAGAGCGTTCCCATGAGCGGTGATGAGATGCTCATCAGCACAGCTTTTCAGAGCATCGAACTGCTGATGAATGACTACTTTGCGCTCACTGTGCCAAAGGACCTGCACCTGAAATGCTTGGAAGTGACTGCCCTTTATGGAACCCAGATGGCTGCTGTCAATGTCAGCTTGACAACAGTACGTGTCCTTTGGGATGCAACAGACACGTTCCGACAATTGCCAGGACCATCTGAACAGCATCCCAGCGATGGCAGTGTCACACCTCAGCTGTCATCGGAAAACAGTGCCAGCATTGGCACAGTCGGCGATGATGAGCTGCTGGTGTATGTGTTCTCTGCCCTACAGCGGCTCAGCATGGACAGGAGGCCAGAGGTTCGGAGCAGTGGCATAAAGACCTTCTTTGCAGTGATCTCAAGCTTCGGCAACCAGATGAGTCTGGAGTTGTGGGAGAGGTGCCTGAGGGCGATGGTCCTGCCACTTCTGAAGTCAGTGTACAACACGTCGATCACATCCAGCAGCGAGGAAGCACAGGCAGAAGTGCTTGGCAGGGAAGGTGGCAAGTCAGTCACGATGCTCGTGCACCACAGCCGGAACACAGAGAGGAAACTGTGGGATGAAACACTGGTTTTGGCTCTCGGTGGCATGTCCAAGCTGCTGAGGGCCCACCTGCCCAAGTTAGTGCAGTTGGATGACTTCCTAGGTGACTGGAAGGAGATAATCCAGTTGACCGAGGACAGTGTGGCGAGGGCTGCGAGGGAAGTTGTGTCTGCAGGTATTGGCCTCATGACGATGGTGGTGCAGACATTTTCCTCCTCCGACATCCTGACTTCGGAAATGTTGCAGTGCCTTTTTGGGGCCCTGCGAGAGACTGTGAGGTCCATGACGTCCAGCCAGGCATCCATGCCAACAGCGGCTCGTGTTGAGATGGTGCAGGGTATAGGGCAGATGTACTCCAGCTTGAAGGAACGGCTGGGCACTGATGAAGTGGTGGTGATGATGGGGTGGCTGGACCGATTCGTAAGGTACCCGATGGGTCCGAAAGACACGTCGATGCACCTGCCAGGGTGCCTGCCCAGCGTTCAGAGGGCTGTGCTGAAGCTGATGGCGGAGCTGGCGGCCCTGCAGAGTGCGGAGTTGTGGCCGATCATTATCAGGACCCTCTGCGACTTCCTTGAGCCACCTGGCCTGGCCGTGCCCCCCGTGCTGCAGGGCCGCAACGAGGGCAGGGAGTCGGCCCCTGACGCCCTCTCTTCCGACTTCATGGAGCAGGCAGTGGATGAGCTTGTTCGGGTGTACTGTGAGCAGGCGCCATATCCAATCCGCGTTGCCCTGTTCAACCCAGTGGTTGCAGCCCTTGCCCGGTGCATGGTGTCCAGATATGTCAGCTTTGAAAAGGGCCTTTGGAGCAAGGCTGCGGCGGCATTCAACACGGTGGTGACAGCCGGACTGCCTGCCATTAACATTGCCAGCAGTGGTGGTGGCACTGTCCAGCAGTCTCCATGGGAGGTGCTGGCCGCTGCATTTGAGGCCTTTCTCCTTGGCAAGGGAATGGATGTGGAAATCCCGGACAAGGGCCACAGAGCATCTGGAAGCTCCAGCGACTCGATGAGTTTGCAGGCACTACAGATCCTGAGCCCAAGGGCCAGAATAGAGGCCTCAAGGGGTGACTCTGAAGTGCGCATGACTGTGCTTGATACACTGGGGGATGTTGTGCTCACGGCATGTGAGCATGCATCACTGGAGATGAGGACACGGCTTGTCAGAATTGTGGATGAGGGGATGACAAGGTCCGATCCCAGTGATGGGGCGCTTGCAGCTGGCGGGCGGTTCAGCCATGCTTGCCTGCGCAAGATGTATGTGCTCTGCAGCCGGGGAGAGGCTGGTCAAGGTGAGTTTTTGGACAGTGGTTTATTATTGCTGCTGGTGGTTGCTCCCGTTTTCAGCTGCTTCAGTACTGCTTCGTTGCAACATGAACGTGGCTAATGGGTGTGTACAATGTGTGAGTTCTTGCGGCTGGTAAGATGAGTATCTCACGTTTTGTGCCAACATGTCATTACTACCTGCTGTTCTCTGATGCTCAAGATTAAGCAGCATTGCACCTCTGTCACACGCCAGTACGTTCTCCGACATTATACCACCTGGAAGTTCATCTCGTAAATGGGGCCAGCACTATTGATCTAACATTAAAGGGACTGAGTGGAAGACAATGGATAGCATCAGTGTGTGATTTTTACATTGAGTGTACTGCAGGTCACGAAGGATAGGGAACCCTTAGATAATGCCCCCCGCATTATTGAGCATGACCACCGCTGCAGAGCGTGGGGGGTATGCATCCCCCATGATGGTACACCGTCATTCACAAAAAAGGATGCAGTGACGTAGTGCAGGAAGTTGGAAAAATGTTATGGCGACGTCCTCCCGCTTTTGAAATGATTGGCGTCCCATTTGAGACTGTTATTGAATGCGTTAAATTGGCCTGGTGGTGGCAACGCAGGGGCGCTACTGTTTCATTGACGTGATGCGGAACGCGGTGGCCAAGTAATATAGCACGGGGGCATGCAAGCTGGTGCCCCCTGCGTTCTTGACACCAGCCCTGGTGCTCAACGCGGGAATCTGCCGTGATCTGCGCTATCTGCATTGGATATTCCGATCCTGGTGTCCTGCCAGCAGGACACTCTCCCAGCAGCTTGGTACTGACTTCAGTTTGCCCTTCGTGCCTCCTCTTGTGCAGATCCCCACGGTGCCCTTCTGGAAGTAGCGCAGCTCGCCCTGCCCATTTTCATCTCGAGGTGTGACAGAATCCTGCGCACGTTCGCCCAGGATGACAGGCAGTCAGGGACCATCCGTCTCCCCGCAGCCCAGATCGACGAAGTGGTCTTCACCCTCGAGATCCTGTCGTCCCTCACCCTGGACCCACGGGTGGTGGAAGGTGCGTTTGTCACCACTCCAGCACAGCAGGAACTCATCAGCTGGCGGCCACAAAGGGAGGAAGCTTCTCCACTAGCAGGGTCCACAGCCACCAGGGGGAGGGCGCACCTCTTGTTCCTGTACCAATCGCTGTGTGACTGCATTACCTGCAAGGACACCCGTGTCAGAGGCATGGTGCGAGACCTGTTGGTGCTTGTTGGGGTCGACCTGGGCCTGTTCATGCCGCCATCCAAACATGAGGTTGGACCAGAAACCCTGCCGTAGATGGGAGCGCTGCTGTGGCGTCTAGGAGTGGTTGGAGTTTGGGCTGCGTAGGTTAGGTGCTGCCAGTCGCATTGGCGTGGCAGGGCGCCTGGGGGAAGATGATGGGAGTTGGGGCAGCGAAGTAGGGCTCACTTTAATATTGTTTGTGACGTCACCATTGTACTCTCGTCAATCTGTATTATTCGATTCTTTGTTTGCGGATGGGCTTCCTCAACCAGTTGGGATCACGCGGAAGGTGTGTTCACCTGGCTTCGTGTGCCTATGGTGATGTGGCAGTATGCGTGTTCTCTCATCTGTCCATCCTGGCACAAACTGCATTAGGGTGGCACAACACCTGTCCCCAATTGTGGCCTTCACGTCGTGCTGGCGCCAACCGACGGAACCCTGCCTCAAGCAGGGCACATAATTGATGCCAATTGGGAAGGCGTAATCAACTGAGCCTGGAACATAGATCTTGAATAGATTGTATGCAATTTGGGGATCCGCGACACAAGGAGACGTAAGCCCTGAGCTACTACTCCTTGAGCCTGGCATGCTCTCCCCATAATAGCATAAAGATGGATCGATTTTCACAAGAAATTCCAATGCCTACGCAGGCATCCTCTTTACTTATTTACATGTCCCCTGATTTGTACTTGTCAGAAGCCGAAGTAAACAAAGTGATGATGCGAGTCTGAAAAATTTGGCCCAATTTCGGAAAGAGATTCCCTCACCTGTAAGATTAGAAGCACCTGTCCAATTTGATTCCAAGACACCAGGGTACACAAGTACCACCAACGAACATCAAAGTGATGATCGGGATCTGAGCGATCATTGGAGACTGGGGTGGTTGTCCCAATAGCTGTTGCAGCGGTTCTTGAAATTGATTCTTGAGGAGTTGGATCAGCCGAGACAGGGGGCTTATGGCTACCTCGTCAACACAATTTGTACTAGTAAGATCTGTTGATGGGGAATTGGCCGAGCTGATGACAACGTCTTTACACAGTCAGCGTTCCTTGACGGAATGAACCTGTGCTTCCAGCGGGACTGTGGCTCTGTTAGGAGTTAATAGATTCATAGACTTTGCTTGTGTTCAACATTAAATTAGTCAATGGACTGATAATAAACACTGCATTGCTCGGGCAAAATAGGAAGCTGGCGGCTACCTCATTGTCTTGTTATGTGCAAATGAATAATGACGATGGTTCTGTTTTCGGCCGATGCTGCTTCAGGTCCAACAGTTTATGTGTAGCGGCCGGCTGCTCTCGCCCTTTGGGCACTTTCACCGGAAGCCCCAATCAAATCCCATGACTACAGATACACTAACGTACAAGGAGAGAAATCCGGAACTGGGCATGACAGTTTTGCCCTTTCGGTCTGCGCGTCCCCTATGCTGAGGCAAAGGAAACGATCCATTGTTCAAAAACTCCTGCAAAACTGGGCCGTGGCGTGGGGAAGCTCTACAACAAAAAAGATGGCGCTCACTGGCCCGCGTCCCCTTTTGGCTCCCCCCGTCAGTGAGGCCAGAAACCGGAACACAAAATCCAGGTCCAAGCTGGTTGTCACCACTGCGCGTCCTCCCGCCTTGTACTCAGTTGCCAAGTTTAATTTGTCCCATAGTATTAGGAGAGCGCCGTCTCCCGTTCACATCCCAATCTGGCGCTTCCCACCCTGCGCCGTCCTAGACGTAAACGCTTTAACTACGCTAACGCTGCAAACGCTTTAACTACTCTAACGCTGCGAAACGCTGTCGTCGATTATAGCTTTTAGGCGTCGCGTGCTCACAGAATCATAGATTTAGTTTGTATTTCTCATTAGATTTCAATGGACCAATCACCGACTCTGCTTTTCTCAGGCAAAATAGGAATCTGACGGCTACCTCATTGCCTTGTTCTGTAAAAAATCATGATGATGATGATGATGAAATGCCGTCATCTCTTCAATTGATCGCTTCCCGAAGCGTTGCTTCCTGTTAGCGCGACCGCCACACAGGCGCGTTCCTGGCGCGTGCCAAGATCAAATCTCTGACCGCCTGGGGGGTACTTAAGATACATCAAAACGCTGTCGAAACTGAACCGGAATGCCACGTCCTGCTGAACCGGGCAAATAATGACCGAGATTCCCGCTGTTTCCGGTACAAATGCCCCCGTCGCGAGAGGCGATCGCCTGTTTCTGACCGCTTGGACCCTCCTCAGTCCCTTTGACTTCAAGCCAGCGCTGGCTTTCGATAGTCCAAAACGAGGAATCAGCCATGCCGGAATCTTCTGGTATTATGACAAGGGCTACGTTGCGCCAAAGGAAGGGTGAGCTGCGCTGTGTGCCTTCGCGGAGGCTGGGTGTTTGGCTTTCGACTTGTTTTGCCGAGGCCTCCGCGAGTCCTCGCCCTTGGAGTTGCGGCAATTGACAAGCGGACTGAGTTTCGCGGCGGTGAACTTCTCTCATGCTGCGCCGCAACTTGCACTTGTGAAGTCAGCGCAACTGACCCGCGACGCGAAACGCATTGCGCAAAATGGCCAATGGGTCAGGAGGGTGTGGCGCACGCGTCCTTCGGTCTTGCGGACTCCTGTGCCGTCCTTTGAGCCGGCTGCTTTAACTCAAGAGAATTTGAGGCCGCTGCTCCCAACCTTCCGCGATATTCCCTTGTATGTTGCTTAACGCTCATGAGTCAAAGGGGCATCCGACAATCCCGACACTCTGGCCGAACACTGCACGAATTATGGATGCGTATCATGCCTGTCTTCATTGTGTATCAGCTTATGCTACCCAAGACTACCAGTTCTTGAATCCATTGGTAAATTCATGTATTAGTAGATATGGCGACGTCACATGACTTTTCATGTCTTAATCGTTTCGTGTTTTCAGTACTACTGTGAATAATATCGCAGCCAAATCATTGTGAAATGTCTCTAACAGATCTATCTTCCAATTGACCATTCTTGAACGAGTGTGGATACAACTAATTCATTGTCACTTCATTACATTTGCGTCATTCGTGTTCGCTTCGTCTTGAAAATCAGCTGTTTGACTTGTTGTCTATGAACGCATCAACCTGTCAACATTATCATCATCATAGCAACACAATGTAACGTAATGCAGAGTACTACAATGCAACATGCTTTCACTTAATAAAAATTCCAATTGTATGATTTTTTTACTAGTTAATTGATGAATTGCCTGCGCATTGTATCCTACGCAGTCTCTATGAAAATGATGACTTCAAGCACTCGTCAACCACCCAACCGCTCGTGGCGCAGTTGCCCTTCATGATGGATGCCACCGAGTATCTGAACGATGGCAAACCATTTTGTTCGATCCACTTTGAAGGTCCTTCAAAGTTGGCAGTCTCCTGGAAATTCCTGCATAAGCCTCACATCGACTTCTGCGATGAGATTGCATCTCGCTCGCTCATCATCCGCCCTATCTGCTGCAGCTCAAGCGGACGGCACACCGCAAAGGGTTCACGCGTACTGCGACTCGCACCCCTTGGGCCATGTCCCCACCGCGCATGCTGCCCCACACGAGAAAATTGCGGCGGAGGCGAGGACCGTGCTTTGCCCAGTGCAAAATCACTGCTCGAGCTCTTTCTGACCAAGCATCTATGCGGGCCATGATGATCGCGGCTACGGTGACAATAGCGGCGAGCCTCCAGCTTTGGATATGGCAGCTGTAACGGTGACCACAAGCGTGGAAAGCAGCATTCCACAGTGGATCCGCAGAGATTCTTGTGTCGACTATGGCTACAGCAAATATGGGTGGCATTGGGAATCATGGCGGGCATGGCATCCATAGCGGGTATGGGAGCAGCGAAGGTCGCCATGGTTTTCTAGCACCAGTGGCCCATCCAAATGTGCTTCCAGCTACGATGCGCGGTGGAAGGGACAAGTGTGGCGGCCATAACTCCAATCAAAAGACTGAATCATAAGGAGGCTACATTTAATGAGGGGCGCGTGACAGCAAGAAATTCAGCCACAAACAGGTAAGTACAGCGGGCCCAGCGGGGCAGCAGTGGATATGGCAGCCACAGGAAGCCCATTCGCGGATACGGACGGGCCAGAAGAATCGCAGCGGATGTGGACCTACAGTATCCCACCCATTCAATAGGCCGCAGCCAATATTGGGGACACGGCACGCACCAAGACATCCTCACCTCAAGGAAGCAAGCGTCAAGTCCATGCTAGTACTGATGGTTATGGTTGTGGTTCCCCCCCAAAGTATGAACAGTTACGTCCTGAGAACTGGGGACGCAGACAAGTCCAAGGCGGCGGATAAGACAGGCGCGAAAGGTACAACGAGCAAAAATTGTTGCGAGACGACAGGGGTACCCAAAGCAGTGCAACTGCAATGGAAGTTCCCGATGCGAAGGAAGCGAATGCCGTGATGTCCGCGCTGCAGGTGGGTGTCGAGATGACAAGAGATATGGAGTCTGATGGCTGTGCTCCACAACGTCAGCACCCCGTTTACTGCATCGGCCTCGTACTGCTCGTACTGTTTCAATTACACAGGCAACACACGACATTAATGATTTCCTGCCTCCACACGGAAATTGTCTGGTAGGAGGACGTCACAAAAGTTTGTCCTCGGTTTGCATTAAGTGGACGATCTTGCGAGCATTGCATGGTCAGTGGTCTACGTGAAAAATTGAACTTGTTCGTACGATGTTTACCGATTCAGGAAAGACAATGTTCTGAGTGCGGATGTGGCTCGCCGACCTTGCAGGTCCCTCCTACTTTGATGCCGTTTCAGCAATCAGAAAATATCCAAGCGTCTCTGGGCACCTCTATGCCTCTGGGATGCATGCTGGGACGTCTGCGGGCTGTTGAAAGGGATGGCACGGTTGGAGGGACGTATTTTTGCCCCCTTGTAAACAGGACGGGAATTAGTTAATCTGTTATAGGGTGGCGACACCTCTGATTGCATCCGTTTTGCTAGCCTTCTGTCCTTGGGGGAGTTGGATGCAAGGGATCTGCGCTGAAAAGTAAGGGGCAAGCAATGATTGGACTCTTACGGCAGCCATCTCCTTTGTCAAGGGGTGATTGACGAAGACTCTTTGGGACATTCGAAAACTTAATTCAGGATATTCTCAATGCATCCCCGTTGCCTTCTGAGCTGCCGAATTCAACTTGAGCGAGTCAGGAGGTCGATGTCACAGCAGAAGTGGAATGGGCATCAGGGCTAGGCGAGGCATTGGCGCCTCTCCTGCATTGATTGAACGATCAACCCGCCGCGCAATCCAGCAAGGGGCCGTTCGGGAGAGCGTTCAAAAACACACGTTGTTCATTCAGTCGGAAAAATTGTGCACATCGAGGCACGGAGGTAGCCGTCAGCTCCACACTTCGCCCCAGCTCATAGTAAAATTTTTGGAAACATTTTTATTTTGTGCTTGGCATCCTTGCGCACCGGCCATAGTATTGGCAAGGGCCGGGGAAAGTCACATACAGCCGAAACACAGGCATGTCCAGCCTGCCCTTGGACAGTCGCGGTTTCTGCAGCGAAGCAGCGAAGGCTGTTCAACTGGTAGCATGTCTAGACGCGTCCAAAGAGGTCTTCCTTGGAAAAAGACCGAGGTCAGTGGTCTGCGGTACAATCCCTGCCGTTTGCAAGTGCGCAAAGGTGCCAAAAGGCGCGATGCCATGAGCAGTCACCTTGCATTGTTCTGGCTTATACAATAATGGCCAGGCCTGCGGACCCTCACATGGTATTGCACATGAATGTACTTCACACTGTGAAGCAAGAAACATCGGTTTAAGGCAGCATGACAGCTCTTTACGACAACGCCGGTACATTGCCACCATGAATAACGTGCCCCTGGCGCGCCCGTCTGATATCAGAGGATCTGGAATTAAGAGATTCTATCGCTGCAACAATGTCACCCTTTGCAGTTGCTACTCCTAGGATATTACATTGCAAGAGAAAAGCGAAAAGGGCTGTATCGGCGTCCTTGCTGCTTCCGGGTCCTGACGCGCTGCAGCGCATGTCCTGTTAGAACCACCCACGGGTGCATGCCTCACGAAACGTACAAGCTCGCGGCAAAGATGACGTCACGCTTAATGAGAGCCGACGCGTCCTGCATCTGCTGGAACAGGCTCGTGTTGCCCATGACGCGCGCCGCGTCCCGCAGCTCCCTGCAGGTCTGCTCCAGCCTGACGATGGTCCTGACGATGGAGCCCTCCATGATGTCCGTGAGGCCGCAGATCTCGTGGAAGGGCGTCCCCCGGGCCCACTCGTACACGACCTCCACCAGCCCGAAGTTCAGGACCTCCTTGCAGAAGGCGGTTGGGTCCAAGGGCAGCCCGCAGTCGCTCTGCAGCACTGCGAACGTGTACGCCAGCTGCGACAGGTTGTCGCGGGCCTCCTGCAAGGAGTCCGTCAGATGCGGCTCGTTCTGGCTCTTGTCCTGCACAGGCCGAGGCACGAGCACAGGTCAAAGCTCGATAATCGGGACGTTTGCCAATTGGCCGGTTCGCGGCAGCAATTCCCTGGGGGGATGAGCTCACTGGAGACAGCGCACTGCACATGTCCTTGATCGTATAATCGTTCAAATGAAATTTGCTCCACAGGATATTGCACGCACCGTTCGGTTTCACATTTCGAAATGTGCTCATGTACTAGTAGCTGAACTGGCCTCTCGGAGCAAACTGCTATTCCTTCTTACAACTGGCACTCTTGCAATCGCATTGGATGGTTGGTCCCTTAAACAACGTTCCTCCCTGTGGGCACTTAGCCCAGTGGGCATCCCCGCTGAAGTCCACATTCGAAGCCAGAGCCCAAACAAAATTCCTGATAAAGGAAGCTAAAGAGCGACACGACACCCGTCACGCTTAGTAGTTCAGTAAACCAAGGAACCAAGGAAATGCTACATTAGCAGTACCACATTAGCAAACCTTCCAGCATCTATTATACAAATGAAACAAAATTCAACACATCGAAGGTCGTCGTCAGCAGCTTGCTTGATCTTGGAATGTGCACGGCACGCGTTCATGATCAATGATTATTGTCGAGAGTAACAAACATTACGTTTGCTCTGAATTGCTTTCAAATCCTGTTTACCCTATTCGACTCCCAGTCACCCCATTCCACAATATGCCAGAGCACAAACAGCGCAAGTTTCAAGAGCGCCATGCCGCGCATCCGCATCTCAGCGTGGGCAACTTATCCGCACCTGGAAGACGAAAGCAGACAGGACTGCGACGGCCTCTTCTGGCCGCAGCTCCGACAACAGTCCAGTGAATATCATTTCTGTGGCCACCAGCTCGTGGGCGGAGTTGATCTCACACGCCACGCGGCCCTTCAGCTGGACGGCGGTGCTCTTGTCAAGGTACGAAAGCCGCTGGAGCACTTCCACCCTCTGCTCGAAGTCTGGCATCTAACACAACACACGGAGGCGGGGCGACGCGCGTGAGGACAATACCAAGGAAGGATCGCATTCCAAAACTGCGTTCTGCACCCCATGAGGGAATGGGAACTCGTGCGCTCCCATCACTTTTTTCAGCTGGAGAAGTCTCAGTAGTTTGGGTGCTTTTCCTTTAGGCCTCTTGCGACGCTGCGGAACGTACTGTGGGCCGTTAGGTGGAGAAGGGAGATGAAACGCACTGGAAACTCACGATTACGTAAACGCTGCCTGATATCGCATTGTGGGCGCAGGGGAATTCATTTGCAACGGTCGAGGAAGTAGCCAATGTGGCTTCGCAAGAACTGCGTTAAATGGAAGATTGCAGAGCACGTGCGCGCCAGAGTTGCATATGTGAGGACGCCCGCTTACTTCAGTCCAAGCGCCGAAGTGGTAGCCCAAGAATGTCTACACGGATTGAACAAATAGCAAAGCTGCCACGGAACTGCCACGCAGAAAGGCACCCGTCCCTGTGAGTTCGCAGGCGTCCAGACATGACAGCGCATTTCTGGCGTGTTGGTTGCTGCAGGCGCAATCTCAATATAACGCAGATTGTCAGCACAGCCCCAGCACATTTGCTGCAGCGCGGTTTGGCAGGTCCACCATTGGAGCATGGCATGTGCCACATATGGCACAGCATGGGCGTACTGTGATCTTTTTTTTGAATTCCAATGTATTACACGAGAATGTAAACTAAGGATGTAGGGCGTACTGTGATCGTCTCCACAAGCATGTTGGGCCAAGCGGACCTCCACGCGACCCACCAACTCAAACCCTCATCCATGCATACAAGAGTGCATGCATACTACTACGTAGTGTATGTAGTATGTGTACTATGAGTAGTGTAAGAGCATGATATGCCGCCCTCCCCAAGCGAAATTGATGCAAGCTCTTTTTGGGGATAAAATTCTAGGCTGTTGGCACATTGTGGCGCCATGGCAATGGACAGAGACCCAACACTGCACATGGATCGAACCGCAAGCCATCTGATCGGGGGTGTTAATGAAGACATTAGGCGTTGGTGTAAAGTAACAGCAACATATTCGGCACCATCCCTCGTTGACTCGTCATGGTTGTAACTTCAGGAGCAGCACTAAGCTCAGGAATGGCCTGCTATTCAGCAGTCACCTCCAACAAGATAGGTGCTGCAAAAGGATGTACACAGGGAACAAAAAAAAAACAAAAAAAAAACGCTACTACAAAGTACACAACACCTAGACGTACGCAAAGGACTGTTGATACGTGGTAAGATAATGACCCAGTAAGCGGACGCTGTTCTGGTCTTAACACGGTTATTCGCTTGTTGTAACAACTCTGGCTTCCGATGGTCGCCATATCGCCCATCTCATGCGAGTGGCGCACTGCAGCCCCCATGGAACAGCAGCTGACGCACCTGCTGCAGTGTGTCGTCCGAAAGTTTGTGCCTCAGAAGCCTGAGCCTTGCAACCAGGCTTTGTTCCGTGCGGACAGAAGCGTATTTTGTGGACAGACAAGTGCACTGGTGGGGAGGAAGGCTGAGCACTTCATCAAGGAGTCGCTGTCTCCGAACCAACAGTGCGGGAACCTCCACCGCGCCGGGGGCCAGCTTAGGACTTATGTCAGCAGGCTGGCCGGATGTCCACTGTTCCTGTGTGATTGAGAGCTGTACGTCAGATACCTTGTCATGGTGACAACTAACCCTAAAGATGCCATCCAACAGGCTGCCTCCATCCGTAGGATGTCACAATGCCAAATAACATGGCAATGTCTGACCTCACGGGTGGCGAGCGGATAAAATGAACGGATGCAGGACACAAAGACGTTCCGGGATGTAAAATGTCTATCATCGCCAACAGCGTGCAAGGGCACCGCTTTGTCTTGTCGTAGGCAACTTCAGAGGATTGCAGCATCTACGGGATGCTGAAAAGCATGCAGACAAGCCCAAAGCTGCTGGCGCTCAAGCTGCCATTGTCAAGTGTGGACAACATCACATGGAGGTCGTGGCATGTGGCTTCTCTTGGCCCGGCAGTACACTCTGTTCACTCACTGGTTCACACTAGAGATATGAAAGAGGCTTGCACCTTTGTCGCTGTCGCCTTTCCCAGGTGCAATTCACTTGGACGTGTTTTCACCAATGTGGAATAGTTGCCCACTTACATCAAACTGTTTTTATTCACCTGGCTCTGCAGAGCAGCTGCTTAGCATTCAACATTTTGTGCAGCACTAGGGGGAATCACATGGCTCACTTGCTGTCAGCAGCCCGCCACCAAAGTATACGATCCACAGTTGTTCACTAAACACCCGCACACAGCCGTGAGCGCTGCGCTTGTCATTGCTAGCAGATACAACAAAAGCAGAATTACGCATAACAAACAGCAATAATCATATCCATTGACGCTGGCCCTGTCTTTGCACTTGAATGCTGCAAGTCCCACCTGCATCGCCACCATCTTCTTCACAAGACTGTGCACATTTTGGTTGTCCGCCCTTGCCTGCAGGATATTCTCTGCATCGAATTGCAGCTTTTCTGGCAGGATAGCAACAATTGTCTCCACCTCGATTTCAGAAACCGCATAAGCAGCACCGCCCACCTCCCCTGTTTGAGGCTCAAATGGCACATCAGCATGGCCCTTTCCTATTGGCGCTAACTTTAGCACCATGCCATCAAATGCTGATCCTGAGCAAACACAAAGGAGGTCATTGCCAGAAAAGAACAAGCAAATGAAGAACAAAGAGCAGAACAGCAGTACAAAAACTACCATCTTTGAATGCCCACACCAATATTGGAATTCTCTGTTTAGGCCATCAGTAGGTCTACCTTGTCGTGTGAGGCAAAGAAAGCAAATTTGGGCCCCAACTTTGGAGGAATCTTTTCTCTCACCCAGATCTTCCTTAAGAACATGTGGAAACGCAATTGCCTTGCTGCATGCCATGGGGACCATGCTGAGGTGTTGTGTTCCATCCTCGAATTCCATTTGATCTTGGTGAGCTCACCAGGTGTCACCAAAATCCAAGCATTTCAAACGCAAGTCATTGCTTGCAACAAGTGTCCTCGATCCAAGTGCAGTGCATAGAATGTAAGGGCTTGTGGCGCAGCTCACCCGATGTCGCAGCAGGTTTCTTGGTGGTCTTCTTCTTGGATGAAGATGTCGCAGAGTCCCAGGGCCCCTCATGGCGCAGTGACAAGACGTACAAATTCTTGGCCAGAGAGGAGGGTGTGGAGCTGCCAGTTACAATGGCTTTGGAGCGGCTTCGAGGAGCGCCGCTGAAGTCGGGAGAGCCACAAATGACCCCAATCTCAATCAAGCTCGATTTGGAGTCAGAAAACAGAATGATGCGTCCAGGTGTCAATGTCTCTTGCATCTTGCGTGCTTGCAGCAGAAGGGGCTGATGTCATCAAGTCAGATGAATAGTGGTGGAAAAGAACATGCGTAAAAGAAGCACAGTGGAAGCAGCGATCATGATTGCTGAAAGAGAACTGCAGTACATCAAATGAATATCAACCACATGAGAAACCATCCCAAAGACATCCACAATCTATTACTGGTGAACCCGCAGATTCGGCTGTGGGCACCATTATCATTCATTCCACTCAGCCGCCTCATCAGGTGGACAAGTGCGAAGCACCGTGATGGAGCACTGTCAAGCACTCTCAGCGGTGGCAATGCGACGTGCCAACAAATATGAATACAGGTGTGACCTGCAAGGGAACAGGAGTGCCAGCACCAACAACAGGCGCCGATGATGGCACACATACCAAGGGGCCAACGGCTGCTCCATCTCAACGCAACTGTCACCACAAAGTGCAGTCAGCTTGCAAAAAGAGCTAAGCGCCAAAAGCCCAACAGTGTGTATGTCATTCACCTGAACATCATTTGACAAGATAAATGTAGATGTCATGGACATGTCCATCACTGTTCTTAGCACATAAGGGCAGCACGCTGTCATCTAGCAAGAAATGGGACCAGCTCATAAGTTCATCATCTCACCATCAACTCCCTGTTCACATCTTCGATGCACTGCAGAAGCTCGCAATACTTCTCCACCACCTCTCTGCTGCATCCCTTGTAGCAATCCGGCCAGGGGCTGCTGCGCATCAACTTCAGCTTGCGCTCGGCTCTGTCCACCTGGGCCAGAAGCCCTGGTTGGCCCTTCTGAGCATGGAACTCGGCAAAACTCCTCTTCAGCATATCTTCCACCTATCCCAGAAAACAATTACGATGTAGCTGCGGACTGTTCTCGACCATTTCTAAATACCATCGCCACTTGAAATCAACAACACACCGTGCTGCATGGCACACATGTGCGTATACAAAGTAGACCAATTGAAAACTCTTCGCCAAAAAGAAATACAAGGTGTTGATAACACACATGCAGTCCTGATGATGGCACTCAATAGGCGATGGCATGCAATGAGCAAGGCTTCCGATGCACACTGCAGGAAAGTCTTCTGAAGAATCCAATTCTCTGTACCCACCTTCAGATCTTCCACGCGCATCAGGTTCAGTATCATGCTGTACGTGAGCCTGAACTGGCTCGACAAGTGGACCCCCCTGCCCTGCAGGAGTTCCCTGACATCCGACTCCTCAGGCAGGTCCTCCCAGCAGGCTATGATGACGGTGCCGACATCGTCCAGGCCGCGGCGCCCAGCCCGCCCAGCCATCTGTGTGTATTCCCCAGATAGCAGCGTCCTGTCACAGTGTGTCAATGCTTCGATTGCATCTGACAAAATGTGACAACCACCGCCTTGGGGTAGTAAAAGCAAGTGCTAGCACAAAACCACGCCAAACACTTGCTTGAAGATCGCAAAGTAGACCAATCTCCTCCTTGGACCAAGATAGCCCCCCTTAAGAGTCGTCACCTGTGAATATGCTTTCTGGTGGAAATTCTGTCTGTCTATTTATATACTAGTGTGCGTGCTTGTTAGGCTTGGGAAATACAAATATGGCAACAAATAACCATACATAAATTACGCATGTATTACTCCATGTTCTCGTTTTGGTCCCTAAAGTACGTCAAAGAGCAAAGCAGAATTTTCCACAATTGCAACCTCAATGGCCTGTAAGACCAACCGATTGGTGTACATGTTTGATAACCCTATGATGTCGTCGCTTACCCTCTCCACAGCAGCAACTACTTAATTAGCAAACCTTTCGTACTCCACCCACACAAGAGTATCAGGATAACATACACCTGCCACTTGCACGCGCTTGATCAAGAACAGGGCGTGGACTATTGCAAACTCAGCAAAATTAAATTCAGTCGGTCAGTATCTGTGTCCAACCAATCCATGGTGCAGCTCATGCAAATGTGCCACCTCCCCCCTCGAAGTGTCCAGCAGGTTCTCACGGCACACTGCAAAACCCGGATCCAGTGATACCGGCCAGATGGCAACATTAGTGTTCGTCGCCGTCCCTCATGAATATGCCACTGAACATGCGCATATCCCACTGCACTGTGAATCCCTAAGTGCTATGCTTTGCTTCATGGATCTTTGGCATCCCCATCCCAAACGAGGAGTGAGCCACTCGCTCCTAGCTTCATCCACAGCGTGCCCAATGTCCTAAATGTCGTGACATGCATATTGCACATCTGCGGGATGCAGGCTGCAGGTAACGGCCATTAATTCGCCAGATTAAATGGCATTTCGTGTAATTGCTCCAAGCTACGTCTCAAATAGGCGTACTTCAATTTTGCCAGAATATGCACATTATTGCAGGTTTCAATAAGAGCCAGCCATATTGCCCAAGCCTGGTGCTTGTGTACTTGCGTACTGGTATGTGTTTGAATACAGATGCACAAAGAACACTTGCTAACACAAGCTCGCCTAGAATACAATTATGCATTGATCACAGAAACTGAAACACCATGCTTTTGTGATGCAGCACCACACTGCATCAGCAAACAATTTGGTTACTTCGTGATCATTGTCATGCCACAATCTTCATATGCACTGCACTTCTTTGCTTCAAATGCTTCATGAAACTCCACCTGAAACTCCGCCCATCATGTTTCCTGAGGGAATGAAATACCACTGTCCGCGCAGGAGCATTGACCCCCATTGCAAACGTCTCAGTGGCGAACAGGACCTTAACCATGCCATCGCAGAAAAGCATCTCCACGATTTCCTTCACGATGGGCAACATCCCAGCATGATGGACAGCCAGGCCACGCTTCAGCAGATCCTTGATACGCCTCAGCTGCAGTAAATAGCGCCATACCAGTCGTCACAAAGTGCCAATGAGAAAACACGAACCCATCACCATGGAACTGCAGCTGGGCTTGAGAACATGTATTTACAATGTGATAAATATGATCTCAAATATATTTCATATAGCAAATATGATCTGCATGTCTTGCAGATCATCGCAAGGGCATGCCGCACCTGGGGCAGCTTCCTGTCAGTATCGCTCAGTCTACTCAGAGATTTCTCGCAAAACTGGTGAATTGCGTGCTTCTCTTGGGCTGTTGTGAAATCCAAGCTGCCCAGCCTGTCGGTGCACTCATCGCACCGTTTCTTTGAGAAGCAGAAGAACACAACTGGCAGAAGCTCCTTCTTCATGAGGTCGTGGATCAGGGTCTTTATCTGAGCTTTCTCTGTTGGCCCGCCTTTGTTCGGGCCTCTTCCACCCGCCGAGTAGCCTGCAGGACAAAGCAGGGCTATATCTTGGCTGTTCCACAACAGACAACCAAACAAATCCATAGAAAGGGAGGTTGAAATGTGAAGCCCACACATGAATAAGGACTCGGACGAAGGATCGTGTATACAAAGTGATACACCTATGTCAACATACTGAAACTGGTGGGGATGCAATGTGGAATGCCAGGTGCCTTAGCAGAGAAGTGTCTGATGGTTTTGAACTTGTTCTTATGCCGAAAGTGCAGTCGGCACCATCAGAAGCGTCGCATTTGCCAATGGAAGTGTTTGAAAGCAGAAACAACAGAGTGCAACTTCAAGATCAATAGCAACATAACGTTCAGTCACAACATATGTCGATGTGTGACGTGTTGCTCCAATTATGGAGCATGTGGAGCAAAAGGACAATACTGCTTAGTGTACAATCATGGCTGAGAAAACGGGATGACCATGGAAAGATCATTCTTTTGTACTTCTCTGCCACTCTGATCGTCAAACAGCAAAACCGAGCACTGCACCATATATTCTATGTGGGGATTCTTCAAATGTGATGGCATCCTGGCTCCCAAGGCACATAAGTCAGCACTTGCTGCAATTCTTCTGAGTAATCCAAGGCTGGGGCGGTATGTTGGGCAACTATGAAACAATGCAATCTGTTACAATCCAAGGGCACTATGCATGGCGACTGTCTGTGTCATGAACTCCAATCCTCCAACATAACAATGTGGCAGATCATTGCAAAACCTGCAAATAACTGAGAGGACAAGCAATGGCAATGCCCCCACTGGGCAACAACACAAACGTCTTTGACAATACCTGCTGCGCAAGCTCAAGCCCCATGTTGAACCCACGACTTACAAGAACAATGCAATATCCACAAACACCAGCTGCAAATCCACCATCGACCAATAACCCAAGACACTGGTATAGTTCTTCACTACCTTGGCTGCGACCCCTCATAGGTGCAGAACCCCTTCCTTGGCCTCTGCCCCTTCTCGCTGCCTGTGTGTTTGCACCCCTCCCTCGGCCACCACCATCCCCTGCCTGTCCATCCTTGCTGCTTGCTGCATTCTGCCTTTTCAGCTCTCCAACCGCCTCTTTTAGGCCTTCCATTCGGATTCCCTTTGCAGAACAGATCTTGAACATCTTGGAGTTGAAGTACAGAAAGTGCTCCAGAGGAACTGGTCGAACAAAAGTCCCTGGGTACAGTCAGCAAAACAAGTTGTGATTGCCACAAACAGCTTGATGTGGGTTTGCTTCTTCTAGAACCATCTTCTAGAACCATCCACAGCCCAATTGCAGGCAGCTATAAGTGAAACTGTAGGCAAGACTCATGTAAACAGGCTGCCAAATGCAAGTGCAATTCACCATTCAGGCCAAGCAGAGGAGACTTTCAAATTAGATGGTTCAACACTGGTTCATACCAGCAGCTGGCAGGTGGAATATCCCAAAATACAAGCACACACACATTTTAGCTTGACCTCACCACACCACACAATGAGCAGTGTTCACCATGCAGTTGCATGTTTCCAGGGCACCCTCTTGGGCAAATGGATTTAGAACACACCTGTTACATTGATGATTTTCTGCTTCGTCCGGCCAACCCAGTCTGCAAATTCCATCACATTAGGCACCGTGGCAGACAGCAGCACAATGGTGCAGTGCGGTGGTAGCATGATGATAGTCTCCTCCCAAACAACTCCACGCTCGGCATCATTCACATAGTGCACCTCGTCAAATATGACATACTCCATGTCACGAACAAGGTCGGCACCCTTGTACAGCATGGAGCGCAATATCTCTGTGGTGACGATCAGGCAGGATGCATCGGGCTTGATCTGCACGTCACCAGTCATGATTCCCACCTGGAGGCATGCACTTCTTGTGAGGCAGCAAATGGATGGACACAGATGCATGACTAGCACCAAGAACCTTCCAGTCAACAATAACTGCTCGTGAAGTATCATATAACAGCCATTATCTATGAATGAAGATTTCATTCTATTCCTTGGTGTAACCTGTGGAGGATAAACACAACATAATGCACACAGACTTCCAAATAGAAGGGCAGGTGGACAGGCAAAAGAGTAACAGTGGATGGCAGTTTCCTGATATTGGCACAGCATCTTGTATTTAGTGTGACGATCGATTTGTCTTTTCGATGCATGCATAACGTGTGGACTGTAATTCATGTATGGCATTGCAAAGGACGGAAACTCGAGCAACACTAGGACTCGTTCCTCAATCTGGCTAGTTGTTCTGCTTGCAAATGGGATGAGCAGCTGCACCGGAAAGTCATGACAACATGGTTGAGAACATCAGGCATGATGCAATGCAGTCGAGCTGATGGCACAGAACATATCATCGATCTGCAAAGACCGCAGCCAACTGCTCACATCAAACTTAGAGCTGAAGTCTCTGAACTTCTGATTGCTGATTGTCTTGATAGGGGAGGTATACACAGCCCTTGTGTGGTGCTTCATAGCCAGAGCGAACGCATACTCAGCCACGACGGTCTTTCCAGCGGACGTGTGGGCCGCAACAAAAACGGACTGTCCCTGCGATGACACGACAGTCCACCAGAGGAATGTTGTCAGATCTTTGCAGATTAGAATTTGCAGGCATGACTGCACTAACTTGCAGTGTGCAGGTGGATCAGACATTGATGGGTGGGAACAGTGCCTGTCACCAGCTCACAGGTGGAGGGGCTGTCCACAAGTAATGACAGTCCCAATCTAGCTGAGCTTTCACCAACAGACCATTCTCAACAACTAGGCCAATGTCCAGACTCCATGCCCATCGCTATCTCCACTCTGCCTTAACACTGCCCACCTGTCATCTGGAACTTGCATCCTGAAAACTGTTGATTATGGACAACAACTGTAAAGGATGCAGCTCGGCTGCTCATCGACCTCCTGACTGCATTAGGCCCCTAATGCACAGTGCTGACAACAAATTATGCAAGCATTGATCCCTGGAGACTGTCAACTCAACTGTTCAATTGTGAGCTCTGGCAAATAAACAGCCCCCCACCCACACACCCACACACCCACACACCCACACACCCACACACACACCACCACCACCGCCACCACCACCACCCACCCCACAAACCCCACACAAGAAGCAAAAAGTGAAAAGCTGCTTTCCCTTCTATGAATGATGAGAATCTCCAAGGACAATGTGTATACAACAGGCAGCAGCGCACTAGCAAAAAACTATGCACTCGCGGTGCTATGGGCAGCATTCTCGTTGACAATAGCTTATACCAAATGGGATGAAGACAACGTGTGCACACACCGTTTCCAGGCAGCAGATGCCTTCTTTCTGGAATCTATCGAGCTTGAATGGGAAATCCAGTGCCAGGTTGTCCCTGATGTTGTTGAACGACCTGTCAACATCAGGTATCCCATGCCATTGAGCCCAGTCATGCTGCTTGGCCTCAAATCTCTTTGTAGTCTTAGAAACAAAGCAAAAATCAACAGTTACAACAACAGTCGGGCATCCACAGCAACATCAAACTGAGCCGCAATGCACAAGGCAAGCCACAGCCTGTACTCAAGTAGTTGCTTCACGACAAGTGACAGGAAACATTGTCAATTACACAACCCCGTTGCTTCTACATGATGGGGTGCATAGAACAAGTCAAATGAGGAGCTGAGAGACATGAGGTAACGGCTGTAACAAGGAAGCCACCAGGTGGTCAGCACCAAATAGGTGGACCTCTTCCAATGCAAGCCAATGTACATAGGAACTGTCAATGAAAGGACTTGAAGGTTGCAAATCAATGCACTCTAAATATATGATCAACTGGCTCAAAGGCTGTGAAAACAGAAAATCACCTGCACCAACACAGTCCTCATCCCATTCATTTTGCCTTAGACAGGCATTTGCGATAGAAAACCAAAGCACAGGATACATGGGTAGCCCGCAGCCACTAAGCAGAGTCTGCCAATTGCAACAATGGATGGCACACCTTAGGCAGGATGATCTTTTTGATTGTGGTAGGAAGCTTCAAGATATCTCCCAAACCATCGCTTGCAACATCTCCAGGGGATGTGGAACTTGCACCTGCAGCCAGAAGGGGCTTTCAACATCAGCGTTTGCACAAAGAGATGGCAGCCAGAAGGTACCAGCCAGGGGCCATTTTCTTCACCGCCATTTTTGAGGTGACTCAATGCAGCAGAAATCTGAAAGCATGACACCATTGCCGTGCAAATCACCTTCCAGGCTTGAATCCATGAATTCGTCCACTTGTGAAAGGGCGCTCCTTGGGCCACCAGCTTCTTGCCCACCATCTTCATCACTGTGATGGCCATCCTGTCGAGAGGAACAAACATGCATCATGAGGCCGTTCCCCTAGAATTGTACTGGGTGCAGAAGTCAGTGCCCTTCATTGCCATGTAAACTGCCTTGGCATGTTTTTCTCTATTGATGATATTGAACAGATATCTTCACCTGTCATTGGCACAATCTCATCTATGCCATAGGTGGTTTCCGCACCTGGTCATCATCCACAAGCCAGAGTCCATCCAAGATGTCAGAGTAATTGAGTTTTGGGGTCTCTTTCAGCTGCTGCACTTCAGAAATGCTAGTCGCTGTGCCACCCCGATCTGTCTGTGTTGTGTCTGCAAGCCCTGGGCAGCAGGATCATGCTGTTTCAGTGAACCCAAAATACTATAGGGTGCCGTCCTTGCCAGGCCGCTGTTCAAAACACATGACAAAATCTGAAGTAGTCATGGCAATTGTGGGGTCACAGTTGGCAACCTCTGTTGCCCAGCGAGGATTTTGCCATTGATGTTTCAACGTGCACGTACAAAACAGGTGTTCTCCATCCCATTTCAATTCTGAATGATCATTAGCATATCTCCACCTGTCTGCTAAAGTCAGCAGCATGCACCCAGCAAGAATGAACAGGCATTCCCATTTCCTGCGGTCTACCCTATTGGTCATGGTGGATGGGAGCATGACCTTCACATGGTTCAATTCTCCACCACAACAAGTGCCAAGCAACTGTGGCAGAGTAGCACAACTTCTCGCTCAGTTTGCAGGCCCTCAGTTTCCTCCTACTCACTAGTTATACTTACAACGACACTGTGGCATCCACCACTCTTCTGCACCAGGACGGCTCCCAATTTACAACTTCTGGCCTTCCTCCACACAATGTCAGCGAAGAGATCGCTCCCTGGTGGGAACGAACACACAATACGCACAAGGGCCTGTGCTTACCCACCTTCTTCAGCATGCAATTGCCTATCTTCTTGTGCCCACGCTCCCAACAGCCCGTGTTGCATACCAGGGGCGAGCGCCTTCAAGGGTGCGCCTGAACTGAGTCCCTGTAGCCATCCTCTGGCCTCCTCAACAGATATTGTTGATGCTGCAGTGGCTGGTTCAGCATCATTACCAACTGCGACAATGGCATGTGATCTCAGAATTGGACCAAATCCAAACTCAAACCCTGGTACCTTATGCTGTACATGAATCTCAGGTGCCTTATTTGGGATCTGGCATCAGTACCACTAACAACTGGCTGTGCCACATCTTCAACTATCCCTGACATCGCACACACGCACGTACCAGACCTCAAACTGCAACAGCAGCTCTGACGGCTCTCCTGTTGGACAGCATATGTGAAAGGGTGGGCTGATCGAGTTGTCAACAGATGCTGATGGGTGGAAACGGTGTTCTTGGGAGCTGAACCGAAGTTAAGGCAACCTGTGGCAGTTTGCTGCCCGGGCATCCATGCACTTTGCATGCTGTGGCGATGTGGGGATTGGGGCGTCACTTTTGCCAAGCATTGTGAGGTCTGTGCAGAACCCTAGAAAATTATATTGCCTGGCACACTGAGTTCACTGGACATGTGCTACAACCAATTCATCGTACTGTTGCACATAGTGGATGCACTAATTCGAACTGCAAGAACACAGTCCGCTTTGAATGAACTTATCAAAAAATTGCATAAAACTGCCCTTGCAGCTACAAGGCGATCATAGGTCCTTCAATAGTGTACTGCTCTTGCACTGCTGGCTGCAGCTGTGGCATACATTGTGCGAAAAATAACATTGTCAATGGACACACAGTTGAACATGTCTGGCAAAGTGGCCAGCTTGCCACCAAACTGAAGAGAAAAATGGTTGAACACAGAAACAATCATAACAGAGGGGATAGCACAACTGTGCCTGAAAAATGACAATTCATAATGAAGCATTTCTGTCACCTATAGGAAATCAAACAATGCCTGCAAGTGGCAATTCACAATCGAAATAATACTAGTCCCCTGTTATGATTCTATGTGCATTGCGCGCCTTTGGAACATCTGTCTTTGCATGATTCCACCTCCCCAAATGCAAGGAAAATGGCCTAGCTCAATTTTCAATTGCAAGACTGCACCACCTGAAAGTCAGCTGCTAAGTCCAGAACAGGTGCAGAACGACAGAAGTGGACAATCGCATCGTCTACTGTCCCTGGCTTATATCCATGTTCCACACAGCACTTGCCCAGCTGCATATCAGCTCACCTATTTCAAGCCCAAGCCCCACCTTGGTCGATTCCAGGGCATGTGCATCCATCGACAGCAAGTCATCTTCAATCTCTATCTCCTCAAAGCCCACAAATCCAGAATCGTCAGGAGGGATCGCCTGCACGCGGCTGGATATTGGAAGGGGTGTGCTCCAGGGGTCTGCTATGATGTCCTGTCCAAAGAAGACCTCGCCTGCACCAATCGGCATCCATTGCACTCGTCAAAATGGCAAAGCTCTTCTTTGTCGCTTATTTCGGCCAGGACTGGTGTGCTGTTAACCCACAGCCAAAAGGCCAATCATGGCACTAAAGCCAAGCTGTAGTCCTTTTCCTGCAATTAAAGCTTCTTGTGTACTTTCTGCAGACTAAACCCATAGCCAGACTTGAAAACAGGCCACAAAGTTCATCAACAAGCCTGCAGCTTGTATACAAAGTCGCTGATCATGCTGAGGAACGTGTGGGGGCAACACAGGCTGCGCGGAGGTCCAGTTCAATCCTTACCATGTTTGTTGACATCAGCAGAGGGGCCATCCAGCCTCCAAGTGAGGTAGTCATGTTTGATTTGTTGCAGCAAGACCTCAGGAGGGTCTGGCTCAAAGGCGATGTCCTGTGATTAAAGCAATCGTACAATGTTGCGGGTAGCAATGGAGCACAGTTGGGTGGCAGCCGGTGCAAACTTTATGAACAGGGAGTAGTTCAATTTGGTACAAAATACAACAGTCTACAAGTGTGGAAACAGTTGCGGTTACGGTGCAATGTGCATATTGAATTTTGACCGCACAATTGTCATATCACTCATTCAGCAAACCCAGCAACTTCTGCAGAACTTTACCAGGAGAGCACTGCGAAAACAAGGACAAGCGCCCCTTTCTGCATTGCAAAGACATGTTTGTAAGAAGGAATTTGCCATGGGGATGAGAACTTTGTCGAGGCACAGAAGGAACCAGCTCACTGGAATTGCACACAGTTTGATGATTTGATTGAGCAAAACGGAACCACGTGTGGCACAACGTCGAATACTGTTTTCTCCTGGAGCCATTTCAGCCACGTTTGCGTGTTCTAAGCCTGCAATCACCCCCCCAAAGTGCACAAATCACAATGGTGCAGAAAACAAATAATGGTCCACATTGTGGACCATTGAGCATCCGTTCTCAGAACTGCAGGCTAGTGCTCGTGTACCTCACAACCACTAGCCTACTGTTCTCAGAAAACGGATGCTAAGGGATGGCACCAGCGTCGATGCATCCCTGGTGCCATCGCTACCGACTACGGTGCCGCAGCGTTAGACCAATCGAATCCACCTCAATCCCCTCGCAGCGAAGCAAGGACACAGGTCCAGATGGGGCAAGAGACATGTGGTGCCGTGCGACGCACCTGGAAGGCGGGCGGGATCCGTTCCCTCTCCTGTAGCGTCACGCGGGGCTGGAGGTCGGCTCCAAAGACCAAATGGATGTCATCGACCTCGTCGAAGGCCCCTGGTTCCGCCATGGCCGGCACGGTTACGCCTCTCTGGCGAACCGTCAGCGCCTTCAGCGCGTTCTCCAATCGCTCGCGGCCATGCTGGCCCGTTCGTGGGCTGCGCTATGCTCCAGCCTCCAACCGGGCACTTACTCCCTTCGTGCCACCTTCTAAAGTTGAAAAAATGTCCAACTGGCAGGTACATACAATGATATTTCCTTGCGTGTACAGCGCCAGGGACACTGCGTGCCGCCAGGCCCTCCGGTGCGGGCCTCAGACCCTGGCGCCGCGCTGCCGGGTGCTGGGAACGGGCTGTGAACGGGCAAGAGAACCGCCGCAAGTTGTCACCCGCCTGACCTCTCCCTGTGTCGGCACTTCCGCACCGGCACGCTGCAACGACAAGAGGCATTTGGGGGATAACGGATGATTTAGCCAGGGCAGCGGACGGATTCGACGAAATCGCGGCCCGAATGCCCTATCCGAAGGGAACTCGGTTGTTCTTGCAGGCTGGACTTCCGCTCATCGCCTTCACGGTGGTTGGTTTCTGGGGTCTGGCGCAATTTGCGCAGACCAGGTACGACTATCAGGTGAGCGTGCACCCTTGCGCCCATGGACGTGATGCTCGCGTGACAGACGTTTAAACACTGACAGAGCTGTGGCTGCCGTGGAATCTTCCCGGATCTGTGTCTTTTGGGATGCGTGCCGGTTCAATGAAGTCACAGTCAGGCGAGATATGTGTCTGATCAGGGCGGGTAAAAGTCGCTGGCCCCCCCTCCATCCATAAAAGCAGTGTTTGCTGACAGGTGCAATGACACCCAAGGTGTTGCGGCTGTGAGTTATACCTGGATTTCTGTGGACTATAAGTCAATTGCTGGGAATGTGATTATGTGGGGTGGGAACTTGTGGGTTCCTTGCTTGGTTGCCATATTGCCGCGCACAGCTGATGCCAAAGATATGTGCGGTGTGTCGAAGGATGCTAAACGGGTCATGATGGAACAACGGACGCCTGTGGACCAGGTTAAGCCGCGGGGGCTGAGCCTTGAGGAGGAGTACAAATTCCTGAAAGAGCATATTGATTTGAACAGTTATGAAAACAAGCCTGTGCCCAGATGACAGAGTGTGCGGTCATCCAGACGTTTGCTGGGAGCTGGCACGGATTCATTTTGTACCGGAGGCTTTTGCTTTCCTCCAACCAGCCATTTTTGCATCGACACCATTCAGCATGGTTTCTGTTTCGTCTTCCTGGGAGGCTCTTGTGAGGAAAATGCAAAAGCTCTTTACACTGTGTGCATGCAACCATTCGAACAACAGCGCCAAACATTCCCAAACAACACACACTCTGCCCTGCTCCACATTCCCATCTCACCAAAACCTCACTCTTCTCCACTTTGAGGCTTTCCTGCGACCTTCTCAACTACACCACCACCCTCCTGTGCAACAAAAGAGTCCAGTCCGGGTACACATCTGACACGAAATCTGCTAGGGCCAGAAAGTCTTTCCCGCAGTAAATGGTGGACAGCACTTCAGCCTCCACGCTGCTGAGCACCACCACCCCTTTTGCAGCCTCGCCGGGGCTGTCACTCACATAGGCCCACCGCACTCTGGGCATGGGAGGGTCGCTGTACATTATGCTGAAGTGCGGCCACAGCTCTAGCTGTTCCCTAAGGGCTGCCTGGCCATCCTGCTCCTCACCCTTTACCTTCCCCGTTGCCTTGAGGACCTCGGAGGCGAGCAAGTAGCACTCCTCCGGTCTGCCACGTTTGGCGAGCACCCGGCGGGGAAAGCGCCTCCCATCCACACCCCGCCCCTGGCTACGGCCGACCTCCTCTAGGGGATCCTCCTTTGTGTTGACCCACACATCCTCGACCCCAGCATCCTGCCCTGCTGCAGCCCTTCGCCGCTTGCCCTGGCCCCTGCATACCTGGCTGCAGGTGCTGGTCCCTGCCTCTGTGGGTTGAGGACAGGCTGCCGTCGCAGGTCCCTCCAAGGGCCTCTTCCTTGTGGCATGTTCTGTCACTTGTTCCTGGGGACAAGTGACAGTGTGCTTGTCCTTGGTGGGCTTGTGGGCCTGTGGCTGCCTCTGGGCAGCAGGCTTGGCATCACCATGCTGTGTCAGCTTTCTTCTCTTGGCCCTCCTTGAGTTCATGAGGCCATCGGGTGCCCTGGATGGCGCCGTGCGCTCACACTTCACCAGTGTCGAAATGAAGCTCCCGGCTACCCTGTAGAAGATGGGCAGCTCCGCTCTTGTGTACAGCCGCATTGCCACAGCCTTCACTACCTGGCACTCGGCTTTTGCATGCGCACAGGCAATGCAGAGCGGCCGGTCCAAGCCAGGGGCATACACAAGACTAAGGTAGCACCCGCGCCCACACTGGGAACACTTGATGCTGCCGCAAGGAAATGTGGTGGACTTGGCCTGGGCGCCTGCCTTCTTGAATCTCTGCGTGGAGCGTCGGTGCCTCTCCATGAAGTTGATGAACTCTCGCATCATGATCTGTTGGTGTGGGGCGGGCTTGGCTTTCTTCTTCCGACAAAGCACCTCGCCTGTTGAATACAACACATAATGAAAGTATAGGCAGAGGGTGGGCCGAGTGCTGTGTCAGAATATGTGCCCTTCACTGTACGTTGGGACCCAACGGTACCGGTGGCTTAACGTGAAATCCCTAGTCCGCGATAGCGATTGTGGAATACCACTTCGACATCATGTAGTCACGCATCATCATAACGCTGATGTACGGGGAGAGCTGAGGATAATGGAGTACGCCCTGCGAATAGGAGACTGTGGGCTGCACACACATTTCACATTTTACGTGAAGACGACATCAAGGTCAATCCACAAGCCCAGCACCCGAGGCATTTGAATTGCGGTACCAAATCGGCTGGATTTGCATCAATGGCAATACCAACTGCCACGCATGTCGGCGCTCGGTGATATCCCGGCCGAGCCTCACGGGGGCTGCATATCTGCGCATCACACCAACGGGGCACGCACCGAGCGCCACCGCCTCTCTGCACAAGAGCTCTTCATGGGGAATGATGTGATTCGCGCTAATGTCGCAGTATCGCTCCAGCGCCTTGCGGCCCAGCGGAAACCAGTCGGGGATTGCGAAGTTGACGGCCTCCCCAACGTTGAAGCCGTGTGAGAAGCCTCCGTGGTACGCCCTTGGAAATGTGACGACGAACTCGCCGGCGTTCTGCACGGCTCGAAACACGGGCACCCCTGTGAGCAGTTGTGGGTCAGCCACTCAGCTAGCCTGCCAGCCAGGCGGCCCATTCCGCCCGCGATTCGAAATGTGGTGGGTGGGATTCAAGAACGTGTGGCGGGGCACGTTCCCACGGTCGCCCGCCCGTGTTTGGCTGCTGCAACCGGGTGCGCGCATGGAAGCGTCCTCCTGGGGCTCTGCGACCATGGCGTCGCTCGTCGATAAACGCCAAGCCTAATGACAGCCACATTGCACAGCGCCAGTCGAGGGGGCAGAGATACTCCACTAGAAACACCTCACACTCAATCAAGAGCCGCCTGGCGGGCGGGCGAGCTGGCATGAAATGGATGGGGACTGTCCTCTGCGCGGGCGACACTCCCGCGCCTGCTTTTTTGTATTTTTTTAATTCCTATGTATTACACGATAGTTCGAACAAAGGGACTGCGCGTGCTTGATTGGCAGCAGTTAAGCACATGCCTGCATCGCCCTGCAGGCGGCTGGCCCCTGCCATGTCCCTCCTGCAGTCATCCACACAAGGCGACTGCGCTGTCCCACAGATTTCCATGCATGGGGATCGCGTTGCCTGCTCGCCCAGCTTCCCCCATGCCACATTACCTGCATCAACCAGATGCTTCACCGTGAACATCGTCGTCTTCCTCAAGAGAAAGCGCTTGGCAGCTGCCGTCACCTCGGCCTCGCTCTTCCCCAGTGCCCTCAGCCCATCCATGGCCCGCTTGAAAACCCGCTCGAAAGCGGCTTTCTCGAAAGCATCCGCTCCTCTGGAGGGCACGCCGTACCAGGTCTTCGCCGAGCCTGTCGCGCCGCCATTCATCATCATCATCATCATGATTTTTTACAGAACAAGGCAATGAGGTAGCCGTCAGCTTCCTATTTTGCCTGAGCAAAGCAGAGTCGGTGATTGGCTCGTTGAAATCTAAGGAGAATACAAACTAAATGTATGATCTATGAAATTTCGATGCGCCGCCATTCACAACATAGTGCGGGAGGGTAGATGACCGATTGGTTGGGCCGCACGACATGGCAAATTGGGATGCGGGAAATGGCGCCCCACAGCGAGAAGTAAACCTTGTTGAGCCAGTTTGAAACTGCAGGCAATAGTTGGGCAGAACAGAGCATGCTCGAGAGTCCACGCACACGTCGGCGGACTATATCAAACACTGCGAAGATGCGAACGGATCCCCTTCAAAACAACACAAAGCCCTGCTCTGAACTGTCACTGCTTGAATTGCCGAAACCTGCACATGAAGCAACAAAGGCAACTCCGCTGCATTTCGACATTTTTTTTCGAAAATACACAAGGGCAACGCACCAAACGGCAAGTAGACGTAAGCATGAATGGGCAAAAGGAGAGAATATAAAAGGATGCACACAATGGTAGTGACGGGCGACGAACTAGGCCTCGTCCCCATCTTTCAGGAGAAGATGTCTCACGCGTCAGGGCGGCAACGAATAGTCCAAACCCGGGCTTTGACAAAGCCACTGGGCCGATCGCGAGTTGAATTTCCGAATTCTGGTCCGGCATTATGAAGATCTCACCGCGCCGGTCGCCAGCAGTCTTCGCGCAAACAACACGAGTTTGAATTTGTAGACGGCATTAGATTAGCGTATTCTAGGCTAGGGAAGAGGTGCAAGCCATCTGCTCATGTCCAATGAAATAGTACAATGACAACGCAGAAGAGGCCGTGCGGCAATCTTGGACGACTGCGTGGCGCACACCTCCGTGCATGTAGTTGATGGAATGCATGTAGTGGTCTTCGACGTGCCAAAAGAATGCGGCGAAAGCGGATCCAATGTACAGCATCGGCGACGTGATGCCGGGAAGCTCGCCGGTCACGTGCTTCAAGAGGGATCCCTTGTCTTTTCCTAGAACCTGCGGCACGCGGGGTTTTGTTAAGTCACGGGTAACGCTTCCGGCGTTACCTAGAATGCTTGCATTCCCACTTTTTACGCAGTGAGTGGAAAAAAGCTGGATGCGGCTGCCTGTTGACAAAGCGAGCAGTTTGTTGTATAGAGGAATTGAATAGAAGGCTCGTACATCAGAGTTTCGCTCGAACAGAGAGTTCTGGAAGGCCGCATGGGCACCGTAGAAATACACACACGTGATTTTTACTATCAGTGAAGGGAACTTTGGTGGAAGGTACTGGTCAGGGCTGGATGGATTGGATAGCAGAACTACAGCATGCAAAAATAGAGTGCCATCGGTCAACGCGCCACATACTTAATCTATATGCAACCGATATGGGTCTCTGAATTACGCGACCATGAAGTTACTATTTCTGCAACACATCACACAGTTGTTGTTGGAGTTGTTGGACCACTTTTGTGGTTCTTACTGTGAGTTGGGATTGGGGGCGTCCTGAAAATGGGGCCCTGAAGGCAATTAAGATTGAAGATATTCAATTTTGATTGGAATGAAGGTTGAAGCAGTACGAGAACTGGCCGAGATTGAAGGGAGACTCTCCATTCCTATGGTTGTCGAATGGCTGGATTTGTTTCCAAAGAATGCTTTTCACCATTCCAGGGGTTTCGGGCTATGAGCGCAGCAGCGTATCACCATGGAAGAGTCGTTGCCCAAATGAGGGTTTTGCTCGGCGCCTCCAATTATTACAGCGACCTGCCGGAGAATTGCGCCATCTCAAGAAACAAACGCAAAATTTCAGCTTGCGCACAGGAGATGCAGTCAGAAAGGATTCGGTGTGGATCATGGAACTCACCCCCAAATTCCACCGAGTGTCAGAGAGGCCCCTTTTTGCGCCTTTCCTTTTGCTGGGTCGGCTGAATGCTGTTCCTTCAAGGTCATTGCCGTATTCGACGTACAGCGTGCGGGTCATATCCTTCCGCAGACGCCAGTACTCTGCCTGTCTCGCGCAAATATAATGAATCGGAGTCAACTTCAGCAACATCCCCACAAATTGACTATCATGGACAGGTCGGGCACATTGCAAGCTTTCTTTATCAAGGATCAACGAATGCTTTCCACAAATTTATCGTGCAAGGCATATTTATACAAGAGCTATGATGCACAAAACTTACTTCACGATGTGCTCACACACGTCACAGCAAGACGTGCAGCATTGGTGGAGAACAAGCGGAGCTGCTCGAAAGTTAGTTTTCTGCCATAATTCGTTTCCTGCCTGGGAGATGTGGTACTTCCGGTATTGGGATAAATTTAATGGGATCAAATCATGATTTACTGGTGATGAACATTTTTTTGCGCCCAAGAGTTCTCGGTGCGCTGTTACATATTGTCGTTCCGTACGCTTCAGAAAATCCATATCAGGCACCTCAACAAGCCTGAATCTGCGGTTGTTCCACTTTCGTCGCCTTGTAGCACTCGCCATTGCACCAGATGATACCAAATTAAGCAACAATTGTGTTCATTCAGGGAGTGAGCGTATGCTAATAAAATGCAGGGTGGTTCCATTGTACCCGGGTTGTCTGTTCGCAGCCACGGAAGAGGATGCGTTGATCGCCGCATTCGCGATTGTACATTGTACGTATGCATGCACACTACGCAGACACCAAAGACGTCTGCGAAATGTGGCGGCTTGTGCAGGATCATTACACCCCCTCATTGCATCGGATGCCGCTGTCCATTCATGACGTGATTTCGGTTGAGACAATCCGGAAGCGGTTGGCACTCCTATTTTGACGTGAACTGCAGTCGCCTGGATTAGGACAGCGCTGGGAGCTCAGCGCCATTCAAGTTGCCAGGAACGGACAGTCTATTCTCACCTCCAGCACATTTGTAGGGATCCTGCTGTTTGTTCCTATCTCCCTTTGGGAGAACAGGAGAGCTCGCTCGCGAAACTGAGCCACCGTGTATGTCCTGCAGAGAACGTACGGCGCCTAAGTGCGAAGTTGGGTGCTGGCTGTGCATTCGATTTGCATTGACGACGGGCAGTTCTAACCAACTGTTTGCCGCATGTGTGTGCACTTGGCATCTTTGGCCCCCTCTGCCCTCTGAAGATGAATGTTTCCAACTTAAAAACCTGACTTCAGTCGTTGCCTCCAGGATTGCCTCAAGCACAAATAAAAAATCTGCCAAAATACACGGTTTCGAAGCGTTCAAAAATTCGTTTAAAACCGCGCCAAAACGTGCAAAAATCATGTACACCCGCTCACTATCCGGGTTGTGCCTCGTACCACGTCGATGCCCAACATCCAGTGAGATTGTGTCACTAGTAAAAAGCAGGCCCATATACACGATTTTGAAAATCGTGCATTGTGTGGTACGATTTAAAATCGTGAAAAATCGTGTCAATCGTGTATTCATCGTGTAAAAATGGGACCAAATCGTGTAGTAACGAAACTAGTTCTGAGAAGACTGAGTGGCGTCAGTCGAAACCTTTACAACCTGGGGTTGCTTCTGTCACGGCTTAGGTTCCCTCGCCGAACAGATTCACCTCAGATGCAACAGGTGCGTGACGCGTCTGCAAAAACACCAGGACCCTTCCCTGCATTTGTAATCATGATATTACTCAAATGAATGTTCTACTCAACGCGGAATATTCAATGGTGTACGGTTGAGTAAACGCATAAATTCGATGACATTTCATCGCACACATTCCGCAAAAGCTCCCAGTGGCAGCCATCCCGCCACATTTCTCCGCCCAACGTTCTTCTCCAGTAGGGGCCGAGAACAGGCGTGAATCCGCATAGACATCATTCATCAAAACTTGACCGGACGCTGGTTGTGCATCTTTTTGCACGATGGCGGGCGACTAAAGGCCTCCAAGCGATCCAAATGGAGGCGGGAAAAATATTGATATGTGGGCACCTGTCGAGATCGAAAAGTAAGTCGTTGGGTCCGAAATCATCCCACTGATGCTCCCTCAACTTTTGCTGCCTCACGGTGAATTCGAAGTCCTCGTCCAGGGTGAGAGACCGCACGAAATTTGGGGGAGGAATGATCTTGCAGACTCCTGGCAGCACAGCAAAGCCTCAAATCATTCAGTGCACATGCCCGTTTCACGCAATTCTTCTTCTGTATCATGAAAATTCTACATTGAATTAGTTGTCTTCAGGCAGCAAAACAATTCAATGGGCCGCTCCTTAAACCGTGCTGAATGGGCACAATTTGTGCCAACAAGACGCCGCGTGTGCACTGAAAGTGGACCATTCACTGGAGATCGCTTTTTTGGTGGGGTCACTTTCACATTGAATGGAAAATAATCGTCCCCATTTTCTTGGGAGCAGCCCACCGGTACGACAGACGTTTGGCGAGAGGCGGCCAAAGGGGCTCCTGCCAAGCCAATGCCAAGACTCAGCGCTGTGCGACAGCTGCTCGGCCGCTGTTTCTCGTCCGCGCCGCCACTGGCGCCGCAAACCCTCGCCCGTAATGGGGACGTCCCCACCCGACGGGCCTGACGCCTTTGCTGACGACCAAGCGCAGCTCCCCTGGTCGGCAGCGGACGCCGCGCCTCCCCCCCATGGGCAACCCGATCCCCCGCTCCCTGGGTCCGGCACTCAAAACGCCGCGCCCGAGATCCCGAATCCGATTGCGCGATTCAGCGACAGCCTGCCGTCAGCTGACCCCGGGGGCCGCCGCCCACGGCCTCTGAGGACCCCCGATCGTTTCCGGCCCCCTGTGCGCGCCCCACCGGTCTTCGACGCCTTGGGCTCGATCGACCTGATGTACGCGATGGGGTTCTCGAACTCGGCGGCCGACGGCCTGTACGTGGGCGCCTCGGGGACCCTCTGTATCCACTTCAGCTGCTCCAGCAGTCCCGCCTCGAAACCATCCACCCTCAAGTCCTGCCCGCGCGGCGAGCAACAGGCTCAGCGCCCCCTCCGCTCAATCAGCGACGCCTCCGTGTGGAGATCCCTGAGATCGCATCCTTCAGCGCTACCCGCGGCGTGTTGGGCGGGAATCGCGCCGGGCGCACCCACCTGTCGATGCGCCTCCCGGGGCTTGGCCTTGGATTGCGCGGCGGATTCCGGCGGGGGGGCTGGGCACCCGGCCTCGCGCTCGGCGGCTGTCCGCGCTTTGGGCTCGGCGGCGGCCCTGGGCCTCGTGGCCGGCGCGGGCGGGAGCATGTCCTGTTTGGCGACCCGCCGCGGCGGCGCGGCCTGGGCCGGGATTTTCGAATCTGGTGCGCTCCGCCTTGATATAGCCCTCCGCCAGGGCTGTGGGTACGATTCTGCATTTCGTGTGAGGATGGTTGCAATCATTTTTGCTACGGGTGGAAGGGACGGTTACGCTTAGTAAGCAAGTTTACGGGAGGCCCTGAGAAGGGGCGGGCGAAAAAATTGCTGGCCGGGCTGTGTCCCGTCAGCGCCTGGCCAGTTTGGGCGCGAACAGTCGGGTACTGTGGCCCAAGGCGGGAAAAGTTCCTTGGGGCCGGCCAACGGCTTGACGGGGGACGTGACTGGCGGCGGCGACGCCTTAGGAGGAGACGCGCCGTACAGCTGCACTTTGTTTTCTCGCTCCAACCGCTCTTGGTTGCAGCGAGCCCGGTCCCAATCGGGAACATTGCTTCGATCCTCCGAAAGGCTCTGTTGCGCCGAGCTTTCCGCTCGTGTTTTGCACCCCTTTGGAGCCCCTGGCTATCGCCTTGCTCCCCCATGCCCGAGAAGCCCGCCCTCAGCCCCGAGGCTTTGGTGGCGGCGCTCCAAGCCCTTCTTACTCGCTCCTGCGGGGCCTCTTCATCGGCCCCCACGGAGCCCCAGACGGCCGAAGCGATCGCGGCTGCGGCCGCCGAGGAATCTTCCCGTCGTCTTGCGGCCTTGGCCCAGCAGTTCGGGGCCCCGCAAGATCTCCCGCTCTCCAAGCTTTTGGTGCTCCGATCGGGCGCCAACGTGGACATCTCTCCGCGGAACCCGGTGCCTCGCCCCCCCGCGGAGTTCGGCCAGTGGTTCGACGTCCTCGACACCGCCGACGGTCAACACCTTGCCCAGGCCTTAGGGCCTCGATCGGGCTACTTCGCGGAGTACGCCAATTGGGCGCCGATCGTTTCGTTCTACTACGATCTGCAGCTCCGCCTCATTGCTTTGGCGGCGTGCCCGGAGGTCCCCCCGGCCGTCCGCGCGGCCTTGGAGCCTCTTGTCTCCCTCTACGCCAAGTGCACCGACCTCGCAGTCTCTACCTTGGCGGTTCGGCGGACGCAGGCGGCCCACGCGAATACGCCCCTCTCCGAGGCGTACAAGTCGCTCCAGACCAACATTCAGCTGGCGGGATCGGCGGCCCGCTACACCACCGACCTCGAGCGCGAGACGACCTCGCTTGAAGCTGGACATTTGGGACCGGAAAAGGCACGCTTGGACTACGGGTGATATATACCCTGTTTGGGATTGATGGAAACCTTCATGTGTTGGGATGGTGTTGGACATGTGTTCGCTTGACATTTGGACAACGTGGGTATTTGTCACTTTGTGACGTGTCTGAATATGTAATCGTAATTACATGTTCATCCTGCCATTTGGGCGGGTAGATTCGCAGGGCTGTACCGTAACGGCACTTGTCATCATTACGTCGCATCTCCTTGATGATGTTTTCCCTGCGACTTCGTCGTGCGGTCCACTTTCTGGAGGTTGAGCAGCAACGACACCAAGCACGACAAACAATTCCAGAATTTTCAATGCGATTGTGTCCTCTATTGTGTCACTTGGTTCCAGAAGACGATATCCATTTTCTCTTCCACTGCCAGGCCTGCGATAATATCCGTCGAAGCCACTCCAGACTTTTTCGATGTCGCAGTGCAAAAACACGTTTTGCTGTGGTCCCTGCTCGCCAACTGGCGAGGACGCTTCTTTTGATGTATTATCCTTCAAGATCGCTTCTTAGCATTAGGAGGTAGTAGATTCATAGGCTTGTTTGTGTTACATTGGATTTACATCAACTGATCACAGACGCTGCTTTGCTCGGGCAAAATAGGAAGTTGACGGCTACCTCATTTTCTCGTTCTGTAATAACTGGTGGTGATGGTGATGATGATGAACTCCTTTATTACATAGAGCTCACTAAACCCAACTCCGCTTCCAGCAGCATAAATATGATGTCAACAGCCTGTGCCACCTTTCGGCGGTATAGGTCAGAGAAAAATAAAGAGATTTCCATGTAGAGAGATTCATGTACAGAGGTGGCTGCAGTCATCAGAATGTAGTGTCTCGTGTCAGATGATGATGATGATGATGAAATTGCCCCTCTGAGAATTTGTGATGACTCTCATGAAGTTGCTCTTGGGGCCGGGCTAAAGGTGCCTCCATTGTGCGAGAGTGTTGCTTCTTCTTGCGACGGAGGCCCAGCAGCAGGCTTTTAAGCGACAGTGCCGGCCTACTCTGTTTGCAATATTGTTGCTCATGTCGGAGAGTGAGTGACGGGGGAGGCCCTCTGCACAAAGAATTGGCCATCAGCCAACTGCTCATTGGCTGTCCCAAGAGGGAACAAAACGCGTGGCAGCCGATCCCTGTCCCTCATCGAGACACATCAAATGCACAGGCTGAATGGAGGTCTCGCGCATGGATCCACGCCCTGGCATCATTCGGATTGGAGAACAGACGGTAACAAAGCAAAATTATAACCCATTGATGCTATTTCAGGCCACCCATTTATCACCCCACAATCCCAAATGGATGCCAACAACGCAGAGAGCGCACCTCACCCAGCCGTTGAGAGACGTCAACTTGTTGCAACTGAGTAGGCCTCGCAAGCCATGGATGGCTTATATATAAATTGTGCCAACCACCGTTACACAACACCTTGCAAACTGGTCAGGCAACAAGAACAATTGTTCCATGCGCTGCGAGGTGCTCTGAACCAGCGCGCCATATCAAGCTGCCCGCTGATGACCGATATCTGAGCTTGCGCCACCGGTGCACTCCGACCACGGACACCGGCATGCGCACAAAGGAGCGGGCCCAGGAGACCATGCACATGCCATGTGCATCAGCGATGCACATCCTTAAAAGAGCGACGCGCCCAAAAGCCCAATTTGCGCATGGAGAGAAAAAGAATCGAGAAGGTCTGGGCATCCTGCAACTGCTCCGTCAAGGCCCGACCCTTTTGTATGCAAATCATGAAAGCAGCCTTCCAAGTCTACCAAGAATTCGGGACATTACGGAGGCAGCCAACGGGCGCGGACTTCCCATGCCGCATGGCAGAGTTACGACGGCCTCCGGTCAGCCGCCCAGTGCATCAAAGGTGGTGGACAATGAGGTGACAATGGTTGCGCCTTCAACCAGCTCACTGTGGAGACGCCAAGGCAGGTGTGGAAAGGATCAAAACGTTCTCCCCTGACATGGCGGGCGAAGTATATTTCACCAGCTCCACTCGATAGCCCCGCCCTCGCAGCCAGTGGCAGCGCCCCTCGTCGATCAGCCGCTTGCACTTCCGCCCTACTTCCATCCGGACCTCTCTTGACAGGAACTCCCCAGCTTCGGCTTGGCACTGAGACCCTGCGCCCTGCGCCGCTGCTCTCGAATCTCCTTCCTCCCCTCCCTCCTGTTCTGCCTGACCTTCTCTGCAGCTGTGGTCTTGATTGTCCTTTGGGGGGCATGTAGCACCAGGTCTTGCCCTTCCCCCATGCGCTCCAGACGAGCCGTGGCCGCAGAGCGCCCACCCTGTCACGTTTGATCTACTGTTGATTGGAAATCATCAAGAAGTTCTGTTACTAATAGCCGAGGACATGCCGGTTTTGCGACCCAGGCAAGCAGAAAAAACACAGCCAGCAAACTCCACGGCTGGCACAAGATTCTTTGCACAGATTCCCTTGGCTGCGGAGTTCATAGAATAACCAGGATTATCGTCATTTTGCCATAAGATGATTCAGAATGCAAAAAAAGGATAAACAACAGAATCGGGGTCTATTGTGGAGGGCACACAATCCAGCCCCAAGGTGACAGAACACGCACAATATCCGCCACATACATAACGAGAACGAAATGCACCGAAACGCCCAAATGACAATCACTTTCAGCACTGGAACGCAACCAGAATTCAATCGCCCCTTCATAACATACAAAAGCTCAGGGTGTTTCTCTTTTAAATCTTGCATTGCCTTGCTTTCCAATATATAACATAGTAGCTAATCAGCTTCACATTGTTTGAACAGCGACCAGGGCGACTGACCGTGTGATACTGCATCCTCTCCATCGCCTTTGCGTGTTTAAGTCCCAGAAGGCAAAGATTTTGATTCCCATAAGATCAAGATGTGACTAAAACCATTTACGTTATTAAACTGAATTAGCAGCTGATCCATATGCACAACCATATCCGTGAAGCTGAGCAAATAAGTACATAATTGTGGGGGATAAGGTGTTAAATACGGTGCTTATATGCATGGCGAACATGGTGTTGAATACGGTGAAATGGGCATGGAGATACGGTGATTACAAATTGAGAACGTTCACAGTGATTGCCATTAGACTGGTACAGTCATCATATAATCCATCTGGTTAGGGCTTTGTCTCCCATGCATGGGAGACATCTTCTACAAGAACTGTGGTCTTTGTCTCGATATCTATTTCTGTTCATCAAACAGGCACTGCAATGCCACTGATTCAGCCCCCAGTCACACATACGAAAGGAAGCCATGCTTGCCTGTCATCCAGCTCATGAGCGCAAACTCGTGTGGCTGCAATCCTGCCTCCTTGAACAGGGCCTTGCCCACGTACGATCTCCACGAGCACCTGTGGTGGCAGCATGTGGCGACGGCCATGCCCCTCAAATTCGATGCTCCTTCCATCTGGTGGACGTGATTATCACTGTCGATCGAAGCATGACCTGCGAGGCTCAACGGATCCTGAGTCAGGGATTGCGAGGCCGGACCAGTCGACATGGGAATTGACGATGTGCACTCATGCACTGTTTGTACTGGTGGACTGCACAGACCAAATCAAGGGGACCAGTCTGGGTTATATGAACTTATCTGGATCACCCACCATAAGACAGAAACATATCGCTCTCTAGCTTTGAGACCCCATGCGATTTAATCAACAATGACAAAGAAAAAACATACAACGGCATGCCTGTCACATGGACTCTCCGTGCAATGAAATATTCGTTGGGATCTGTTGAAACTGGCAGGAACAACAGATCCACGCTGCCACCTGTCTTCTAGTTTCCTTCTGAAATTGCTGACATTCCTCACATGTCTGTGAGGGTGCCTTGCCTCATTGGGTTTCACAGTGAAACAAATGCGCAGGTACTGATGCCCAACAGCCATGCAGATGGTTTTCAACAACCCATACCGCAAAGCGCCATGCAAATGCATGCCGCAGCAAGTTTTGCTGACATCTCTTCTGGATAGCATTGGAATGTCCAATACTCTGGTAGTCAACAGCATCAAGGGATTGCAAGGTGTCTTCCCCATGTGCGTTTCCCCATGTGCTCAATCCCCTCTATTGGAACTGCAAATTGTCTACATGTGTGCTTGTGTGGTCAACAACAGATGTTGTGGTGCCAAAGTGCCCATAACAAAATGGGCGCTACACATTGCTGGACAATCCCAACCACCAGACTGATGGTCAACAGTCGTCGTCCTGGATCTGCCAGAGCTCCTAATTGGTGGTGATAATTGCAGCTGAAGTCCAATTCTGCTCCTAATTGCTTGTGTGGGTAAGGCTTGATCATGAAGTCCAATTCTGCATAAATCAATCTTGTGGGGTTCAAGGCCATGATCATTGGTGCTGGTCATCCCTGTTGATATTATTCATTCAAACAACCTCACCCAATGCCGCACCAGTGCGCCTCTCATCCATCTGCTGGCCTCCCATCTGCGCGTTGGCAGCATGGCATGCCCTAAGAGTGAAATCAGTGGCGGCCCCACAGAGGTGTTTACCGCATGCCACCCAGGGCCGATTTTCTTCTCTAAGCTGTGGAATTCTGCATACGTCAAGGTCTCTTATGTTGCAGGTAAGCCTTTGAAGATCAACATCGGTAGATTTTCGCATGGACCTGTCCGCCTGCCAATGCAAGTTTCAGTGCCAAGGGTCAGAGTGAAGGCGCAGGGGTGTCATGTGCATAGCGATGGCCATGGCTCAGCAAACCTGCATGGTGTCGGGAAAGACATTGAACAGGCAATCGCAGTCGGGATGGGGTGCAGATAATGGCGCTACTTCCTCATCTTTTTATGGCTTCCTTATGTACTGGGCAACTTGGCTTGAATGGCGCAGGTACAATGAGTACAGCAATATGCAGCCTTTGGGCTGACAATGCACCCTGGACATCAATAGGCTTGGCATACTGGCTTCTGCAGACTGTGGAAAGGGAAACAGGGAAACGGTGTGGAACTTGTGCTCTCTGCTGCTTGGCACAGCTTCACGGCTTCTTGTGGCAGATCATGGATCTTGTGACAGATGCCTGGTGTGAGGAGGTGCAGAACGTAGGATAGTTTAACAATGCACGTGTTCCTCACCTTGAATCTGACACTGCCACAGTCGATTAGACAGAATTGCTTTATCGGCGTCACATCGGACAGCATGCTGGACAGATAGCCACGCCCGGCACCAAACTCCACAGCCACGCTGCTCTCGGCGTTTTGCAGCATTCCAAGTCGATCCATGTTCCCTAGCACAACATCAATACCAAACTAGGGTCACATTCACAATTTCCCCAAGAGCGCTTGCACCAGACGAATCTTCCACTACACCCAACGTGACAATATCTGCTACTAGCCACAGACAGAGCGTTGCTTGTCATTTGCTGATCTTCGATGCGTTGAACCGAAAGTGATCGCATATCTGTCAATGAACACTGCTGTTTTTTTACAGCTGCTTGCTCAGGAGGGTTGGCAATTTCAGCCATGAGAAGCTCAAAGCACACTGGCTGTGGGTGTCTGTCTTGTGCCCAGCGAAACTCACCAATAATGGATGCCTGTTGTGCTGCATGTTTCAGACTGAATGGCCGCACATGGTCTTCTTTCAAGAAAGGCTCACAGTTGTTGGGAAGCAGAATGGACTCAGGGATCTGTCCACTACACCATGTGCAGTATGCCACCTCAATCTGGACACCAGGCGATGAGTAATATCACTGACTGAGTACATGGCATCCATTTGTACCTTATGGGCCGAAAGTGATAATCCGATCCGTTGCTCAGTACTTGTGCACCTGAGGTATAGCCACAACCACTCCAGTGTCGCAGTAGAGCTTAGAGCATTGAACTCTAATCGAAGCGTATCAAGCGCCAGGCAAAGAACGAGTTGCCACATTGTCGGTTTCAACAGACATGAAGCGAACAGAAGGCTCATGAGGAGGATCTCCGTTGCCAGCGCTAGATCCGTGAGAGTTGTGTCTCACCAACATCCTTCTGGCCTGTCCAGTCTGCCACGCTGTCTTCATTTACCACTTTGATAAGGTCTAGAATTTGTAGAGCCAGTCAAATCCTCTTCAGCTGCTTTGTCAGGAAGCTGGCTAACAATGCCTAAAGCAAAACACAACATCAAAAAATTCAGTGGGAACGTGGCAGCTCTGGTTACCTTCTTTATGAGCACCAGCAACGTCGCCTGACCAAGCATCTTTGCTGAAGCGCGTCGTCTCTGGGACATTCCCCCCTGTGCCACTGTGGGCAGTTCAGGCTCGTCTTCACTTCCAGCATGAATGTTTTCGTTGTAAAATGGCCTTGCCTGCCATGCGTGTGGCACTCCGTAGTCACAGCATCGAAATTTATGCAGTTGTTGTGCCCAACCCACATTCTGATGAAATGGCAGTGTTCTTGTGTCCATGAGCAAAATACAGCTGAGGGTGCTGAACCTTAGATTATCGCGGAGTCAGTGATTACACCCACCATTACATCTGCCTTTACAGGACGAAGAGGCCCCAACATGTCCAGAGCAAAATAGCACAGTTGTTGCCACAAAAGAAGGCAAGGAAGCTGCAGGACACCAAGCAAACAACCGCTGGCGATCGTTGCATTGTAGTCTCCAGAAGATTCCTACAGATTTCAGCCCCAACACACTGTGCTGTAAGCTTTCCATTTTAAACGGATCCAGGGTGGGTCAGAACTCCTTGGTACCTGTGCCACCTCTTTCTGAATACGGCCAGGGCATTTCCTCACATGGGCATCCAGCTCAGATTCGAAAATTGTGCTGCAAGGAGGAAAAGGACACGCCCAAACGTCGGTCAGCCCCCAGTGCAATAGGTATTGGACAGACGGTGTCATCTACAATGGCGACCCGCACCAAGACTTGTGCAACATCCTTTGCAGTGTGGAATAGAAGTCCATTTCAGAGTCCATGCTTCCTTTCTGCCGGGAAGGCATTAGTCATCATTGCGTGGATAAGGGTGTTCCCAGTTCACGATGGTTGCAGGATTGGCATCTTGCCAGCATGCAATGAGAACCAATTTGGGCAAATGAATTGCATGCACAAAGTGCAATGACCTACTGCCTGGAGTCCACAGGGCACGGCACCCGCATCTCTCCCTGCCCAGCCCCGACGAACAGGTGGTTTCCGCAGTACAGTTCTCCAGGCTTCGCGTCAAACTTGCAGTTCCTCTTCTTTTGCTTCATATAAAATTGGCATTTCTGAGCCGCCATCGTCGCCGCCGCCCCGCGCCCCCCCGCTGTCCGGATCCCTTCCCGAAATCACCGCTGCGCGCTAGGCGGCAGCGCCCCCTGGGTGCCGCACGCTGCGGACTGGGATGGCCCACCAAGCACTGGCGCACAAATGGACCGCGGACTCACATATATGTGAGTACATATGTATGTACATTGTCAACAACGTTGTTCGTTAAATGCGGCTTGATCGTGCATGGCAATTCATAAAACTGGGGACAGGGCGAGTTCTGGGCAGCTCCCAGGATGACGACCGACGACGACGCTCGCGTGGGCCTCCGCGTTCAGGTCGGCGCAGACAAGGCCACCGTTCGATACCTGGGGCCCGTGGAGGGCCAGGAGGGTGAGTGGGCCGGGGTGGAGTGGGACGACGCCTCCCGCGGCAAGCATGACGGATGCGCCGGCGGCCGGCGGTACTTCCAGACGGCGCGGGGCGCCAATTCTGGATCCTTCGTGAGGCTGGGGAAGGTGGATTGGGGCGTCGCCGCCCCTGAGGCGCTGGTGCGCCGGTACCAGGGGCTGTACGGCCCGCCGGAGGACGGGGACGACGAGAACTGGGAGGAGATGTACGTGCAGACGGCGGGCAACAGGAGGAGGGGCGTGGAGCTGGTTGGGATGGAGAAGGTTCACAGGCGGCAGAGCGACATGCTGCGGCTGAGGGCTGCAGTTTTGAGGGGATGTCGCGTCGCCAGCGGGGTGCGTGTGGAGGGTGTGTTGGGTGGTGGCAGATGTTTTGGCTGATGTATTGCTGTGGGGTTGGACAGGGGGCGGCCGTTTTCATCACCAGGATTTCAGGCGCTTGGGACGTTGTCGATGCGGTGGAGCGATTTTTTGTGGCGGAGCTGCAGTGCTCCTGTGGAGCAGATGTGCGCATTGTGTTCCGGTGGGATGGCGACATCGCACTACAAGTTTTCTTGCTCTGTTCAGGGTCCCGCCGGGGAGGTGGCTCGTCTCGTGCCGAACGTGGAGGAGCTGGACTTGTCGGACAACCTCATTACAAGCTGGGATGTGGTGGTGCAAATTGCTCGACAGCTGAGCCGTCTGGAAGTCCTCAACCTGTCGAAGAACCGGCTATCATTTCCAGAGTCACAGGAACCTTCACATGGGTCGCTCCTGGAATGCCTCAAGACGTTGATCCTGAAAGAGTGCGACAATTCCTGGGGTCAGGTATGTGAATGTAGACTGGTATGTGTCGAGACAGAAGTACACAGAGTTCTGTGGCTGTCATGAATTGTCTCCTGAAGGCAGAAAAAAAGTCAAGTGGATGGAAATGTTCATGAGAAAGATGTGCGAAGTTCGGATTCTGTTCAGAGGATATCCCCCTTAAAACAAAACGACATGAGGATCAGTGTTCCTTTAGATTAGCAGTTTGGGTGATACAAGCTGTCTTACCCAGATTTCTTTCATTTTGAGGTATGGTGCCACAGGATGCATGGCCCTGGTGCCTGTGTTACAGCCCGCCATCTTGGGTCCGCTGTTAACACACTGGCTGTGCCTTCGCTTGAAAAGCCTGAACTGAGGCTGTCCTTAACTTAAGGTTCCACAGCAGTGTTTTCAATTTTGACAAATGTAGCATAAGAAATGTCTCACTGTGCATGCCATTCCTGGACAGGTACTGGACCTGCTACCACATGTCCCTTCCCTGACATCCCTGCACATCTGCTACAACAGCCTGTCCTCCTTGTCAAGCACAACTGCAGGTTACGATGCTCTTCGCAAGCTGGAGGTAAGCTTCATAATCGTCATAACTGCAGTGTTGGATCCCAACTGATGCTGTTTTCATTTGGGACTCAGGCTCACAAGCTTAGTTCTGATCAGTGAACCATGTGCACTCGTGTAGTTGCATGGCAGTGTGATTGACTGATTTGCTGCATATTGTGTTCACCAAAGCTCATGGTCACTGTTGGTTGCGGTTGCTGTAAATGAAGTATTGATGTAAAGAATGTGTGAATTTCCTCCAAGAGGAGCAAGACTACTGTTCTTATTTTGCGGCTGAAAGTTTGTGCATGCAAACTGTTGTGTGGCTAATATGGATAGAACATATTGGCAGTGTATGTCATGCAGATCCAATTGCGTGTGCTCCTGTCTTTATCTTCACCTCTGTCAAACGGCAGTGTGAGTTTAATCCCTTCCTTGTGACTCCTGTCCTTTGTTGTGAATGTACCACAACTCCAACGGAGTTGCCTGAGCTACCAATTTCAGCAACTCACAGCAGAAGTGCAATGTAGTGGCATCATCTGACTGCACTTCTCTAGCGCTGCAAAGTGCCATAAATTTCTTGTGGGTACATGGACATGTGTCAGAAATGGGCGATTGTATTCAATCACAACAAAATCATTGTGGCTCATCTGAAATAGTCTTGAACTGCCCTTCCTCTTGCCAGCTTCTTGATCTGGAGTGCAACAACATATGCAGCTGGGAGGAAGTTTGGCCGCTTAACACCCTCCCGGCATTGAAGCGGCTACATCTGGGCAGCAATCCAATTTCTAACATCACCTACCCCAAGAGCCATTCCTTGGATGTGCCGCCATTCCCTGCACTGCAGTGCCTGCTGCTGGGGGATTGCCTAGTTGGTGATTGGGCCTCTGTGGACAGCCTCAACAGGTTTCCAAGCCTTGTGGAAACAAGGCTCACTGGCAACCCCCTCATCAAGAGCACACATGGAGGTGGTAGATTTGAGGTGCGATTGGCAAGATTAATTGAGTGACCTCAAAAACTTTAGTTTCAAAAGGCACAGCCTACGTTTCGGAGATGTTGGGAGCCATATTGAACAGTCAGCATCACGTGAAATGAGCTGGATTGTGCACACTGTGGATACCCTGCCAGTGTAGAATTGTTGTGTGCATTGTGGGTGGTTGATTTCAAGAAAGGGTACACAGGATCGTGTGCTTGTTTGACGTCCCTTAATGGCTGGATGACAGCCCTGCAAGCCGAGATGCAAAACAAAATGGGAATTTCTCACAGATTGTTCTTGTTGGTTGCATGTGCGACCTCGGCGCGCCTGGACCTTGTATCTCTAGATGGTCAAGCACATGTCACCACCTTAAACTGCAAAGGCAGATGTCATCCAAAAGAGCTGATTCTTTTATTGCCTTTTGGATGCAACGGCCGTTTCATGTCATGCCCATGGCCAAATTTACAGCAGCACATTTTTCATGGCTTTGCTGGGACATGGCTTGTGCTGCAGATAATTGCCAGAATTGCGAGGCTGACACTGCTGAATGGGGCAACAGTGACTCCCATAGAACGTTTTGACTGTGAGCTGCGGTACATGAGCCTGGCTCACAGGGACACCCTCTCCTCTGCTACGCCCAATGGCATCGATCCAGAGCTCCATCCAAGGATGGCAGAGCTGCTGGAAAAGCATGGCCCTGTGTGGTATGCCCTCAGATGGCTCAAACCAATGACTGCCAGCCAACCTTGGGTTCAATGCCTTCACTCATTGTAGACCTTTACCTCGGCATTGTGTAAACCACAGTTGCCAATAACTGCGCTGCAGCTCTCCTGCGTTTCAGTAGGCATCACGATCTGCCAATCCCTTGATGCAGCCTTGGTTGTTCTTCCACCGCGACGTGCCGATGTCTTGGGGTGACCGTTGCTTTCAGCTGTGCCGAAGTCGATGGGCTGAACGTGTCTGGGCAGTGTCTTTTCCTGGTGCTCTGACAAGCCATACAGGCGGCACGCACATTGACTTTATGTCACTCCACACAGAATGCAAGAGCATCAGCTGCTCTGTTATTTACCCCGTGTTTGGGTGTGATCACCAGCACCCGGGGCAACGTCGCCGCCAGCACAGGCACACTGCAGGACAGTGTGGTGCAGGTCAGCCTGACCTGCGTCGCGGCATCCGTGGCGAAGAGCATGGGTACTGTCACTAAGAGGCTACCCGCCTCGATGACTTTGGCGAACCTCAAGAGGCTGGCGGAGAAACTGTTCAAGCTGGATGTTGCCAAGATGGCGTTGTACATGAAGACGAGTTCGTCTCCCATGCCAGAGTCCATGCCGGACCTCGACTCGCTTCAGCTGTGCGACTTTGATATCCAGGTGGGCCCGACCATACACCTGTATTGCGTCATAGAGTGGTGTGGTCTTGGACGCAATATGCTGAGGATGTTCCAAGCACAGATAGGCCTGCCATAGGCAGCGACATGCGCCTTGTTGCCACTTCAGTGTTGGCAGGGAATCAAGATCGTTGGCCCCTCAACCTGAGCATGTTCCTCTGGCTGTGGGCAAGGAAATGCCTTGTTCATAAGTAAACACGCTCGAACTGCTGGCGTGTATTCCTCGCTACCCGTGCTCGCCAAGGGAGGTTCAACGACACAGTTGTGTCTATGCAAGCTGGGGACGCATGGCCAATTGCACCTTGTTAAATCCTGGTGTTAAATCCTGCTGTATGACAACAGGACTGGCACTGTCTGCTGTCAATGTCGGCTTATGTGCCGTCTACATCCTTGTTGGTTCAGGAACTCAACGTTCCGATTCCAGTTGAACAACAGCATGAACCTGGGCATTCCTTGGTGGTCAGGACTGACAAGTAGCCTAGACTGGTGCTGGTGCCTGATACCCTAAACAGATATCTCTGTGGTTTCTGCTATCATATCAGGGTGGCTGGGGTGATGTAGGCCTGTGCTGTCAGATTAGACAGCATCAACCCGTGAACATAGGCAACAGCCATACTGATCTCCATTCTTACGAATCCTGCTGCCTTTGGGTTGAGAGTGGTGGTATGTTGTTCAGGATGGGCAGGAGATACTGGTTGAAGAGCGACAAGCCTGAGTCGATGGGATCAGCAACCAAGCAGGATGACTTGAGCTGCCCCCTTCAAGACGCATGCCATTGTGCAATCGCGAGTCCAAGAGGGCATCACTAAATTGGAATGGCTGAGACGGAATCCAGTGGGGTCATCATGCCTCTCTGGCTCTGTGAGCAGCCTGGCTGTCAATTAGTGGTTGTTGTCCAACAGCAACATGACTGCTTCTGGCAGTTGTGTATTCAAGTGTAGTGAACACCCACACCATGTAAATCCGTGCACACCCCAGCCATGACTTGGCCACAAGCCCAGAGAATTCTTGCAACACCTCGCAGGAAGATCCGTTTGCTCACCACTACCAGCTCTTGTCCACAATTCCATCACTCAAACATGGCTGCATGTGCACAGGTATAGCACATTGCAGTGCAAGATTAAAACCTACCATCTTTCCCTCACCGAGCAAGCCAATGAGCTCAAAATGCAGACACGGCAGTGTGTACTGCAGACAAGACAGGCAACCACAGCACACTTATGACCCGTAATGTCCCGAAGCAAACAATAAAGAATTACAAAGGTTTGAAGCACCTGTGCCAAGAGCCCTTGGCTACCCCACCCCAGGTGTGCCATGCGACTGCTGGGCTGTCTGTGCTGGTGCATGATCTTGTGTCTCGTCTGTGTCTACAATCCAGGTTCTGTCCCAAGAATCGATGGGACCTGAGTGACAGCATTAATAATTCCCTAGTGGTCAAGTAACTTCGATGCCATTAATGAGCAACCTGTTCATCTTTCTTGAACCCCAAAAAAAGTCGACAATGACCATCCGTTCAGTGCACGAACATGGCACCCAGCATCAATGCCTGTATCTACACTTCAATTGCACAGCAAAGCCTACCAGTCCAATTGATTGGAGCACTCTCCCACTGCCAGCCGGAATCAATCTGAATGTGAACCTCTGCCACTATGTTCATGATCCTCAGTGTGGGCGGTTATGTGCAGGCGATTGTGTTGTCTCTGCATCGCATGGTGCACAAACTGCTATGAGGGTGATTTCGTCTGGTCAGAAGAGAAGTGTGCTGAAAAGGCATGCACATAGCGTGGGGGCAGGTTGAAAGCTGTGAACTGCCTCAGCTCTCCAACAACCCAGTTCCTGGTCTTGATATTGCGATAGAGAAAGAATTCCAACTACCGTGCTCAAGGTGTGGACTGGCAGATCTACAAGTCTGCAAATCGACAAATCGACGCAAACACCAACAGCCAACAGCCCATGCAGCCAATATGCAACGAACCTTGACCCTCTGAATCTCCTCCTCTGTTTCTATTCTTCGCTGCTCTTCAAGTTGCCTATTGGGACACAAACCTCTCATTTTTCCCAGCAAAATGCTGAGGGCAGATCATAGATCCCTTGTCCATGCATCCGCAGCAAAGCAGAGAGGGTTGAGTTGTAAACTTACAAAGAAAGCACTGGATTGCTGGATGCCAGCGAACCAGGCTGGCAGCAGAACAAAGACACATACTCAAAGATTTCACTTGTGACAGCAAAGGAACATCCTGCACAGTGGACACTTCCCTGGTGGGAAAGGCTGCCTTTTGTGAAAATATTTGCCACGCCAGAGAATGATTTATGGTTGGGAAATCCCCATGTACCAGAGTTGCAACACACAATATAGACACAAGCATTCAATTGGCATTGGTTAGACCGTGGGCGCAAATTGACGATACCGCACAGTAAAATGGGCAAGAAAATGCACTGGCAAAAGTGCACATTGACCTCTGGCGCAGCCCACACCTGTCCAAGCCAAACAGCTCTCTGAAGAACATCAGTTTGCGCAGCGTGGTATACCACATCAGCCACCACCCTGTGCAAACAGGCGTGCCGAAACTGAGCCACAGGAAACACTCCTTGCCTAAACTTTCGTGCCCAGCGCAAAACGGCCGCCTTGCACCTCGGAAGGCAGCGATAGACACTTGAATCCAAAATGCTTTGTCCAGGCCCTGCTTCGCCACACTCCCCACCACCAGCTTGCGAAACGCACCACCGGTGGTCAAAGCCGCCCAAGCGAAACAAACCCGACGGAATGGGGACCACACCGGCCAGCTACAGTCCCGGACGACAATGCCAAACAACGGATACCGATTTCCGTAAACATCGGCAAGTGGGGTTAAGCCTTAAAAATGGAACGCCCCAAAACTTCAGCCACTCGCTTGTTTAGCGCTCATGCTTCGCGGGATGTCGAGCAGACCTCGGATGTGCTCACGGCGGCGTCCCAATCCGGCAACGCGCCAATCACAGGCCGACCACGCCACACTTTCGCTCGTCAGCCGCTTGAAGGGATGATTGTCACGGCCCAAATCACGGAGCGCGCCAGCGATCGTCCAACGACGTTCAAATCAACTATCAAGAGCCCTCTCTCCACCTCCACCCCTCCCGACATCCCCCCCGCGTTCGCGATTCCCCTGATGGCCCCCGCCGAGCATCACGCCACAGACGCCCGGGGCCCCAACCGCCCCGGTCCCGCACCCGCGAAGACGCTCAGCGACACGACGCCCAGCGAAAGCACGATGCTGACGGCGGCCATCACGTGCCGCGTGACCTCCGGGTTGTTCGCAGCCCACCGGCGCCAGGCGGCGTCCAGCCTCAGCGCGCCCACGGCTTCCGCGAGCCCCTCCCAGGACAGCACGGAGCTGTTCATCACGGCCTCCATGGGCCCCGGGCGCCAGCCGCCCCCGCCTGCAGAGCCGGGCTCCGCGAACAAGGGGGGCGGGCGGCTCGGCAGTGGGGGGAGGCAGGGGGGCGCAGGTGGAGAGGCGTGATCGTGGAGGTTGCTGTTGTTGCACTGGGAAGCAAGTGCGGGCTGGTGCGCGATGTGCTGACGTGTGCCGGAGCTGGGCGCTGGTAACGGGCTCTTGGGGGCGTTCAATTGGTGCCTGAGGCGGATTGCAGGCCAACAGCAACTTGTGCGGTGGCCGGAGTAGGTGCCGCCGTGGTTGCAGTTTCTTTGGAACCCACGCCTCGCGCGAGTTGAGTTGCTTCCGTCTTGCACTTGCAGTTTTGGGGTACATGCGTTGGGAGGGCGGCACTAAGGAGGGCTCCACTGCCTTTCCTGCCCTCGCGCAGCCACCCAATCACATGCACTCGCAATAGTCCTGTTCACAGATGTACCCTCCATGCATGTGGTCAGCCATTTGCTTTCTCCACGGTCGTGTACCGCGTTTCCACGTAGTTCGATTTTTGGAGCACCCAACAACCGGGTGGGAAATGACTGTTTGCTCGCCAGTGACTAAAGTATCAATTCAACTTCTGCACATCTTCTCATGTGGGCTCCTCTTATGACCAGCGAACGGTCACGCAATGGACATCGTTTTGTGGAGCTGTTTTCGCCGTTTATCCTGCTGGATTGGAGGTGTCCGAAAGCCCCCACATGTTCCCGAATCCCCTGATGGGTTCCGGCCCAATATTGCAACACCCATTATCAGCACCTGACCCTCGTCACACAACTCCGAAGCTGCACAGCTACCCAGACGACGAGCACCAGCACCAAGCTGGTGTCCGCCAGCTGCTCGCCCATCAACTGTCTCCCAGTGCTTTGAAACTGCATTACAAACGAATTTGGAGTCGGGCCACCAAACCGCCCAGCACAAAGCAAGACGATATGTGTGCTCACGCTTATCTGGACGGAGACGGAAAGACCCAAACTGCAACATTTGTCTTCCGCATGCAAAACATTCAGTGGACGAAACTCACATCCTTGCCCTTCTTTGATGGTTCTCTTCTCAAGCGGGAACTCACAGGATCCCGCCACCCTCATGCAGAAAGCAATCACCCCACCTTGCCGACAAAGTGCGACATCCTCAATATAAACCCCAATAAAGAATAAATCAAAATCCCAAGGACAAGATTTGATGAGCTCACGCCATCGCTGGCACCTTGGCCGCATTCTTGATTCCCGATATGGCTGGACCACAGATACAAATGGGTCAGGTATGCAGCACGAATTTGAACAACAAAAGCAACAGGGCAAGCCACCACCATGTCTTGAATTGCGTGAACTGAACTGTGGGCAGACAAGCCACAAGTCAACCCATTGTGAGGACCATCTCAAACTGGGACACAAATCCATACCTGTTCGTGGAAAGCGACGTCCTCTTGTATGACAACAAGGGACAACACTAACAAAGTTTGCCATGTCTCATTGCCCTTCACCCTGGCCCAGTTAGGTACTCTGAGACTGCAAACATGCCATATTGTACGATGGGAGGAGCATTGACATTTTCTGGTATCCACCATGGTCCCCAGCAGCCCCTGAGTAACTTGTAGTATTTTAGGCATTTTATCAATTTGGGCAACAGGCCAACTGGGCCTTCCAACAAGGCGTTTGCTGGGCCATTGCCCCATTGCTGGGCACAACTAGGGTCCACAATTCCTCCCCAAGGAAGCAGCCACCAGAATGAGATTGGCTTCACAACCACAGGCAACATCTATCAGCTCCACCAGCTGTATTTGTAAAGACAGCACAAACCAGCGTGCCCTACCTTCAGCATACGATGGAGACTTGAACACTGCAGATCCAGCAACAATGGCATTGCAGCCAGCCTCAATCACCTACATCGGTGGCAAATTTGTTCCCTTCAGACACCTGCCAAGGCTGTCAACCAATACAGCTTGCAGGAGACAGTGGCAAGCGCTGTGTCCCATGCACGAATTGCTACTCTTCAACCTGGCGACCTTATTGGCAGCGCGACGAAGCTCTCCTTTGGATGCTGATGCGATTGCAGTATTTTCTGGCCACTCACCTCTTTGGCATTGGCTGGGCTCACCCCACCGTCAATCTCAATCCATGGGTTGACACCCTGCATCGACACACAAGAACAGAGCAGGTTACACACCAAATGCCAAAGCACCGACCTCATGACCATGGCTGTCCCTACAAAACAGCGCCCAGTGCACGGGTGGCCCCCTTTGGTTTCTCTGCTGCCCATTTTTTACTCTGTGCATCTGAGAGGCATGCAGAATGACAAACTTGGGACACCCAAAAATCAATGTCGCTGTCTCCAAACTGTAAGGACTGTGTATCGTGTTGTCCAGGAAGCTCAGCAGGACAGCAACACACCTGCTCATTGCACATCTCCTTCAACTTCTTGATCTTGGGGATCTGGTACTGGATGAACTTCTGGCCACCAAAACCTGGGTTGACAGACATGATGAGGACAAGGTCGGCCACTCCAAGCACATGCTCGATCTCGCTCAGGGACGTGGCGGGGTTGAGCACAACGCCAGCCTTGCAGCCCAGGTCTTTAATCTGCAATGTAGCAATCGGCCTCGTCAGCAAATTGATGCTGCTGCACGATATAAAAGGGAAGTGCCTTCCACATTCCTGCCCAGCAACCAAGTGAACTCCCCAGACCCATGTCCTGCAGGGTATCGATCGCGCTCGAAACCTGAGCGTGGCTCTGTGCGATCAAACGAGGAAATCCCATCGCCAGGCGTGCAGGGAACAAGAGTATAACGCACCTGGTTCAGCACCCTGTCCAGATGGATAGTCGCTGACTGTTCACAATGGACAGAGATGATGTCCGCCCCAGCTTTGGCAAAGTCGGCGACACGCTGCTCCGGCTCAACAATCATCTGTGGCGCACAGACGGTGTCAGAATGGACCGTCAAGGGGTCGGGCACACAGCGGGAGGCCCTGAGGAAGGACGCTTCTCTTCGGACACTTGGGCTCGCATTCCAGCCCGAGCAAATTTGCAGCCCAATCTTTCCTCATCCCCAATCACAATGGTACTGGTGCTGATCACCGCCCCTGGGAAGCTGGAGAGTAGGCGCATGCTCAACTGTGACCCCAAGCTGACAGACCAGCGGTTCAGCAGGGCACCAAGCAAAGCCCCGTTCCAGTCACAACGATACTGCCCACACTATGGGTTCTCCGTCCATGCCCTGCCATACCCCATCCAATCAATACAGCAATCAACACTACAATCGAGGAAAGGAGGTAGCTGTTACCTTGCCCTCTCAAGAGAACTCACCAAACCCTTCCCACCCGCACCCCTCCACCCCGCCAGGACCAATTCGTCCCCACTTGACCCGGGGTCTCACCAGGTGGCAATCCAGCACTTTGTCCGTGACGGGCCTGATGGCGTCGACCACCAGCGGGCCGATCGTGATGTTGGGCACGAAACGGCCGTCCATGACGTCCACGTGCACCCAATCGCAGCCCGCCTGGTCGATGGCCTTGATCTGCAGCCCAAAACCGCAGAATGCAAGCCCGTCAATGCCCCCGCGTCCCACTTGGCGCCAGAGCTGACATCCGGCGACTCCCATTCCCGAGCAGGCACCCCACCTCCTCTCCCAGTCGCGAGAAATCCGCTGAGAGGATCGACGGCGACACGATAACGTCGCTCTTGGAGGACCTGTCCACGCGGGCGCTGGCCTGGACGGCCGGCGGCCCGCGCGGCGCCGGCGACTTGGCTGCCCGCAGACGCAGGCAGCGGCCGGCCAGCGGGGACTGCAGCGCCGAGAACGACATGGTGGGGCAGGGGCGGGGACGGGGGCGAGGCGGGGGGCGGGTGCGGCGCGTTGGGTGGGGGCAGAGGCGCCGCGGTCGCAAGAAGGCAGCCGTGGGTCGAACACGTTGGCTCTGAATGCGGTGGGGCCAGGCAAAGGGGAATCCATATAACCTGACGTGGCGGGCCCTTGGCCGCGTGATGCGCCCCTGTTGCGGCCCGCCAGCCGTATCTCCCTCCACAATACAGGCTCTAGCATCCGACCCTGGCGTGCGTCCTGCGCGACGGCCCTGGGTGGGCGCATCTGTGGTCGCTACTCGCGGACGAGTTCCTGCGCCCTCTCGCTGCGCCGGGCAGTTTGCCAACGTGCCCCGCGTGGCGCGGATGCCTTCGCATGGCGCTCGCGCTGGCTGCTGGACTTCGCCGGCAGGTCTGGCGTCCTCGGTCTAATCCACGATTTTGTTCCAAACATGCTCTGATGAGAGCCCAGCCGACGCCCCCCACCAACAATGGCCGTGACACAGCTTTTGCAAGGAGTGCAACAAGGGCATTTTTTTGCTAACTTGGCAGGGATCAAGATCGCAACAAAGTGCACACAATCCCGCCATTTCCGATGGGGTAAATAGGGGCTTTGACAAAAGTGATGCACATCCCGAAATCGCACTGTAGATCGGAGTTTTCTTATCACGGGCGTCAGTATGCCTTGGGTTTCAACTTCTTGTCCTTTAGTTGATCAGATATTCGATAAAATGTGAGAGTGAGGGACATTAAAATGTTTTCAATGTGAACAAACCATCGTCACCATGAATGTGCAAGGGTCCTGCACTCTCTTTTGACAGTAAATTGATGCAAAGGAATTCGGCTGGGAATTAAAGTTGTGAGAGGACAGAGAACAGATTGCCACGCACCTACCATATCGTTTTTCGTTCCTCTGCTTATGGTTGTGCAGTAAAATATGACGAAATCAAAGGTTTACACTTCGCAAGTAGTGATTGGGTCAATGTCAGCTTGAAAAATTTTCCTTGATCCCCTCCCAACATGTATCCATACTTTTGGCCACAGCACCGTACGGCGTCCTCTTTCTGGAAAGCCTACACTTGTGTTTACTTGGGACGCCTGGCGACAGGGCGGTAGCACTTTACGCGTATGGACAAGAGAGGCAAAGCTGTCGCAGGCTGAGGGACTCATCAACTTTGCGACCCCAATTCCCTTGTGCTTACATGCACGGGCAATTTGAGGAGCTGCCCATCACTCTCCTGGAATGACTCAAGACCAGCGGATGGGAAGGTTGGGCGCCCACAAAACAGAGAGCCGCATTCTCTAAGAATATAAATGATTTCAGCTCTATTTGACATGAGTGCACACGAATTTCATTCTATTCTAAAAGAGCCGTAGAAGAGAACATAAAAAGCTTTATTATGGTATTTTCTGCTTTGCTTTAAAGCGAACCGCACAAGGCAGTATTTTCCAATACAATATGCTGTGTGCAACAAACATGCACAAGCTTGCATGCACCCATTTCCATGATATCGAAACTGCGGCAGAAACATCAATGAGCACACGGTAAAGGATTTCTCCTTAATTTCATTGCTATTTCCCATATCATGGTACACTCTTTAATTCGCCGTCAGTCATGCTGTCTCTCGACTTAATGCGGGTCCACGCCAGGCACAGAGTGACTGACTGGTGACACGATGTCATAGACCAGCCAATATTTTGGCATGGACAGCCCCTTAGAGTCGCCAACAAGCGAAATACCCATGCTGGAAATCTACGAACAAGGATCACACACAGCGCAGACTCGCAGCTAAAACACCAATGGCATTTGTGACTGAGAAGCCCATTCATAATGAATGAAAAAGCTGAAATGCGACGTGAAGGCCCCAAAAAATTGAGAGAATGAGCAAACATCGCAGCTGCGTCTCATGGAAGCAACGTGAGAAGCTCAGGACGTTCAAGTGCGTTTGCATATCTGTTGTGGAAATAGAAAATAGAACCAAAAAGGTCGTCAAGCGGTAAAACTTAGTTAATGTAGGCAGGCGCAGGGGGAGAAAAGATACAATGGACAATTCGGAACTATTTCTTGGAGCGAATCATAAGTATCTTTTGGATTTGCTTGAGAGACGGACCAAAACTACATGAGGGGGGTGGGGTGGGGGGGGATTTGAGGTTTAGGATTAAGGAGCGTGCTAATATCTGACGGAGACCACATGTGAATGCACAAATCGGCAATTCAGCTAACTCATGAACTACGCTTCTTGAGTAAAGAAACGACAACGAGCATGCAAAACAGCTTCAATTTTGGTGGGTTGCCTGGATTGGACATTCTGAACATGCGCTGCCTACCAGCTGGTTGGTTCGTTTTCTAGGCATCAATGTCGGCTCAATGAAGTGCTGGTACATGTCATGAGTATAACGTGGCATGTGCCTCCAAGGTGCACTGAATGGTATAACATGGAATTCCAACCATCCGCACCTCAAATGGGGCTCGTGCTGCCCTTGTACTTGGTGCATCGTGTCGTGCATGTTACGGGGGCCGTAACTGCCAGCCGGGCATGCGGCGCTATGACGTTATTTGAACGCCAAGAACATAAAAGTGCCAAGCGCAGTTGTGCGCGTAGCTCTGGATTCAATTTCAGGTTTTAGCGGTCTTCTTTTTTTCTTCTTGGGGAGGCGAAGCGGGGAAGCTGGGGCTCTTCTAGAAGAGCCCCCACCCACCATGGCCAGGCATGGCCAGGCCCATATCTGGGACTGACTGATTAATCAGTGTATCGACTAGCCAGCCAGATACCCTGACTCCGACTGACGGTTTTGACGGTAGGAACTCTTCATATGACACGCATGGGGAGCCGAGAGATGTGCCCATGGTACCTGCATGCCTGCAGGTCGAAACATCGTGGAGGCGAATCGCTCCGATGAGCACGATTAGTGCCGAATTGGTACGCTGGACTTCCCATTCACGCTAGGAGTGGGTGGGGTCTGTGCAACCGTGCGACACTGAAATATTAAGTATTGGATAAAATATCGATGTCGATACCGACACAAGCTCATAAGAGGTCCAAATCGCCGCTAGTCAGCGACAAACAGGCCATGGCCCGCTGGAAAACACAGCGGTGCATACGGAATGCTGGAATTCATGCAATCCAACCTCGGCGAGGGGACCCACATGCCTCAATTGACGGCCTCGAAGGCTGCCCCGATTTCCTATAAGCGCTGCAATCTTCCAACACTCTCTTATCGCTGCAGTGTTGCGTGTTGGTTGCCCCATTGTGTCCATGAAGCACGAGTTAAACTATGTTCCAAAGAGCATGAATAGGAGAGTCTGGCAGATATTCGTAATGTCATTGAATGACATGCGGATGCTTGCCCAGATGGTAATGAAATACTGTGGTAATTTCGTTGCATAAATACGCAATGTTGCCCCATTGCAGACTTTCCCAAACGATTATGCGCTGGGCAGCGCCTGTTGGTGCCTGTTTGGCTCTTTTCCACGCTTTGTTCCTCTGCCTCTATTCCTTTCTTTCTGTCCGCTTGTCTGGCATGCATAGCCTGTCAAAATGGCGAAACTGCAGTTGCAAATACAACTGGGTTGCTGGGCTTGTTCGTGTACGTGCTCCTAAATGGATGGTAATTAGAGCAGACGCTACCAAACGATCCCATGGCATACATTCGATTTCAATGAAGTGATCATGGACACCGCTTGTGCCACGACAAAATAGGAAGCTGACAGCCTGCCTGGCTTGTTATTTAACAAAAAATATGATGATGACCATGATCGCATGGTTACCGAAATTTTATGGTGACGTAATGCCGGCGGCAGAAACTGCGGAGTTTCGTAATTTTTTGCGGCCGAAATGGGCAGCTAATGGCACACTCCTAGCCTTGATATGCAATGTTTTGGGATGGGTTGAACCTGTGGTTCCGGCCGAACTGTGGTGCCTATGCTGTTGAGGATGCATCGGATCAGTCAACAAGCTTCGAGCTCTTTTCAATTGACCGCCTCCCCCAATCGGTGCTTCAAAGTGCATTGGGCGCAACGCGGACTTGTAACACCCTTTCGTGCAAAACGCCTATAAGGTGGCCGCGGAAAGTAACAGAAGTGTGACTTTGTGCGCAAGAAAAACTTCCGATTTGAATGATTCCGCACTATTTGCGCACAAAGGGGTGTTTTGGGCAGTCTGGCGGAATTTCACAACCGAGTTCTTGCGCACAAAGGGAATCCCTTTGTCCGATGTATGCGTGCGGGGCGCGCGCATTCGCTGGACGAGGAGCTGGTGGAAAATCGCCCAACGCACATGGGTCTTCTATGGTCCAAACGTGGCGGAACAGTGGCAGCGGTCAATGGTTCTCATTAGTGGAGGGCGAGAACAAATGCGCGCACGGGGCGCGCATTCAGAGGACGAGGAGCTGGTGGGAAATCACCCACAGTGCGTGGGCTTTCTTTGGCGTGAACGTGGTGGAACAGTGGCAATGGACAATGGTTTTCACTACCAGAGGGCAAGAATAAATGCGCGCCCACGCGCGCATTTATCCTCGCACACATGGCCATGTTTAACACAATTTCTGTGCCCCGGGAACAACTTTCCGCGCACAATTGTTTTGCACATTTGTAATCAAAACGTCGCCTTCAGCGCAATGCCCTGTTTTCGCCCTTAGAGGCATTTTGCATGAAAGGCCGTTATGTGGGCTGTATTTTGAGATGCATCACATCACTGCCCGGGCTGACCCGGAATGCAACGTCCTGCTGACCCGGACAAACAGCGAACGCCTGTCCGGCTCTTTCGGGTATAAATGTGCCTCCTTGCCTGCGTTTGACCGCTTCGAACCTCTTTTTCCACTTTGACTTCAAACCAGCAATGGCTTTCGAGCTTCGGAAGCGAGGAATGAGCAAAGCCGGAACCCTCCGGCACCCCGATGGAGTCCGCTCTGCTCTGAGTGGTGAGTGGTGAGTACGGCTGAGTGGCTGCGTGCATTCGCAGAGGCTGGATGTCAAGATATTGACCGCAAACCCGAGGCCCGCGCG